GTGTGTGTGTGTGTGTGTGTGTGTGTGTGTGTGTGTGTGTGTGTGTGCGCGCTACATCCTGTTGTGGATGGAGGAGAGGGGGATGTGCCAGAGAGCATACGGAGGATAGAGAAGCTCCTGGACACCAGCATTGAGTTTCATGAACTAGATCTTTTGGACCAAGCTGGCTTGGAAAAACTCTTCAAAAAGGTCAGAAAGTTATTACAGTGGATTTATTAATCGTGTTAGCGCTGGAGCAATTACCTGTTTAATTGCTTCGTCAATCAATAAAAAACAAAATCACTATTTTGATAATAAGCAAAGAACTAAATGCCAAAATGCTTTTCTCAAACGTAAGGAAGTTATTGCTTTTCTTTGTCGTGAATAAGTTGAAATATCTTTTGGGTTTGGATTGTCGGGCATTTTATACTATTTTTTTTTTTTTTTCACATTTTGCAGACAAATTGGTAAATCGATTAATCAAGCGAATATTTGTCAGATTGATGGATCATGAAAATAATTGTTAGTTGGAGCCCCAAAATCTGATTTCTCCAAATGTGAAAATAAACTGCACACATGTTTTCCTCATAAATCAGCTCAAAGAATTATTGAATAAATGCTGGGAGACTTTGTCTGTGGTGGTCACTATCCACTATATCTAAAGAACACATCAATATTCATACAATTCCACGCTTAGCTTATATAGACTGCTTTTTTGTTTGTTTATATACCAAAGAATGTCCCTGCTGGCCACCATACATGCTCAGGTAGCATTAAAAATAGGTAACGTGACAATGCCACCATACTGCATGGGTACATTTGCTATAAAAAAGAGCGTTCTTTCACTTTAGTAAAACCCATCACACATGCCTAAATATATATCCGTGTTGCAGCATTCTTTCAGTGCGGTGATGCACTTTGCTGGACTGAAGGCTGTTGGGGAGTCAGTGGAGCAGCCATTACGCTACTACAGAGTCAACCTCACTGCCTCCATGAACCTGCTTGAGGTCAGTTTGCACTTTTTTTCCATTAAAATCTGCACTTCGCTCTTCATTTTTGAACTGATCTTTATTTGCACTTGAGGTTTGCTCTCTGAGTGCATGGCAGCGTATGTTCATTTTGATACCGTGTCAGCTAATCCTAGCCCTGCACCCTTCATAACGGCTGTGGAGCTCACCGTACACGCAGAACTCTGCGTTTAATCCTACTCCTAAGGTGCATGTGCGCTTTAGACTGCTGACTGGATGTGTGTGCGCCGTGTTTGTTTGCATGCGTCCCAGGTGATGCAGGCTCACAGGGTGCACAATCTGGTCTTCAGCAGCTCAGCCACGGTGTACGGAGACCCTCAGCACCTCCCCATCGACGAGCAGCACCCCGTGGGCGGCTGCACCAACCCCTACGGCAAGACCAAGTACTTCATTGAGGAGATGATCATCGACCAATGTAAAGCCAAGAAGGTACTGGTCAGGAGGCAGAAACGCACTCGCAGACGCACACTCGCGTATGTATACGGTGTCTAATTATGGCCTCTGTGTCAGCAGGACTGGAATGCAGTGCTGCTGCGTTATTTCAACCCGATTGGAGCTCATTGCTCTGGCCAGATAGGAGAGGACCCTCAGGGTATCCCCAACAACCTGCTGCCATATGTTTCCCAGGTACATGAACTCTCTGCCAAATACACTGCTAGAGCAGAGCAGAGCATGCAATGGATGATTTCACATTGTTTGCTTGATTTATCTCCCCCATAGGTTGCCATTGGGAGGAGAAAGTACCTCAGCGTATTTGGGAACGATTATGACACACTTGATGGGACAGGTATTTGGGGAAAAGACCTTTTAACTGCGTTGCACAGATTTAATTCTGGTTTTGAAATATTCTTTTTTTTATTTTTGGGAGGTGGAGAGCTCAAGGTTTTCTTTCTCTTGGCAGGTGTGCGAGATTATATCCACGTCGTAGATCTGGCAAAAGGACACATAGCAGCTCTGAAGAAGCTGGAGGACAACGGTGGCTGCCAGGTAGATTTGATATTCTGAGAAGAACAGAAAATAAAACGCATTTTCAGTCATTTTCTGGTTCATTGTGCACGGCCGTGAAAGCATGATTGAGGTATTCACGGCAGTGCTGGCATGTGTGTGCATTGTTGTGTCGGTAGGTTTACAACCTGGGAACGGGTACAGGCTACTCTGTGCTCCAGATGGTGAAAGCCATGGAGAAGGCATCCGGGAGAGAGGTGAGTGACAGAAGAGCTCTTTTCTCTCCAAAGTGAATTGTCTTCAGGGTCAGCGGTTGCATTGTGTCTTCTGAGTGACTTGTAGCCGTGACCACACTCCATCATGTTATCCCGGGAGTTAAAGAATGGCACCTTCCTTTTTGTCAATTAAGCTTAAAATGAATGCGTCCTCTCCATAGATCGCATACAAAATCGCCCCACGTCGGGGAGGAGACATAGCATCCTGCTACGCTGACCCTTGTCTAGCGGAGAAGGAGCTGGGCTGGAAGGCCCAATTTGACCTGGAAAGAATGTGTAAGGACAAACGCACTGTAAAAACCTACATGCATTTTATAGACTATCTTAAGATGAGATAATATCCTGATGTTATATTTCATACTCGTATAGGTGAGGACCTGTGGCGCTGGCAGTCCACGAATCCCACTGGATTTTCCAATGGCACCGCCTCTTGATGCAACTCCTGCCGTTTGTTGTTGTTAATCATCTTCCAAATCACCGGGACAAAGCCAACCATCAGCATCCTCATTTTTGCATAACATATAAACACCATAATTAGACGAAATGCTTTATGTTTCGTCATGTTTAATTTTCTCTTTGTTCTACAATAATGGTTCTTATTAACTGTTTACACTAGAATAAACATATGTCTCTGATTTATCTGTGTTGTAACTAATAACAATGGATATTTTCTCTATTGATGTATTGATCTGTGGGCTATATATAGGAGAAAGAATAAATTCATTTTCTTACTGAGGAAACTGAAGCCTTCAATTCCACTCCATTATGAAACCGGGCTGATTCAAATGATAGCAATTAAGGGAAATTGACTGTTAAAGTGCTGACTACATTGATGAAATACAAATTCTTCAGTGACACAAAACCATAACAATATTCCAGTAGAATATGCACTCACCTGAGGATATGATGTGGTTACTGAAAAGTCACTTTTGAGCAACACAGGAACATAATCATAGTCATGCCAAGGCAGATAAAACAAATCTACCAATATGATATTGTCATTTAAGGGTTTGAGTATCACACAAAAAAAACTACAGAACTACTGTAGTATTGCATAATTTTACAGAGCTGGGGTATTCGGTGTCCAATATTAATATTCTGTTCACAGTACACTGCATTTAAACGGGGCACTAGGGCTTTAAATGGCTCCTTGAACCCTCGGGCACCCAGTTAATAAACACCCACGTCAGCACAGTGCTTCAGTCGCTCTAACCGGGTTTCGGTCTTTAGGGCTGAGCAGGAAGTGCCTGACTGTGGACCCTGGACGAGAAAAAAAAAACGCAAAAGAAATTAAAAAAAAAAAATGGAAATGGTGGCAGACTTGGGGGCGAGTAGACTCTATCGGGCGCCGGGTGAATCAAGTCACCAGTGAGTATCGATGGATTTTGTCAGGGGGTATCACGGCGTGGGGCGTAAGCGGGTCCTACCGACACCTCACGCCTGGGAAAGAGTCGCTGGGTTTGGGCAGCAGGCAAATCCTCCTCGCTGCTCGCTGCGCTCCGGACCTCCGGCGAGGAGAGAAGGGGGTGGTCTTGAGAAGGAAAACGGGCGTTTTTAGCGCGTGTTGTGCTTATTATGATATCCTATGTGAATATATTCATTTTATCAGCTCAGCATGCTCAGTTGCTGGAGGTTTGTGTCTGTTTTTCTATTGTGTGCTGGCTGGAGCCTGAAGTGGGCGTCGCTCCAGGACAGACTGGGCTGCTCTGGTGCGTCGCTGCCCGCTTTTCTCTCGCAGGACTGCAGCACTCTCATGTCGTTTTGTAGGTCGACCGACGCCGGAATTATGGGAGAATAGCTTGATGAGGATACTAGTCTTGTTTTTTGCGTGACGCTATGAGCACTGTGGAGTCTTGCGGGCGTTGCGCCGTGGGTTATCGGGCGCTGTGGATCCTGTCAGCCAGCATCGCATAATTAATAATGAATGCGTGTAATTCAGAGTATAGGCTGCGCGAGGATGGCTAAATAGGTTACTATAGGAAAAAGAACTATTCTCCATATGAGGTTGCGGCAATTTGTGTCTCTTGGGATGCCATGCCCGGCCGCACTGCTTTTATTTTCACTTCCCGTGAGTCTGTTGTGTTTGTAGCATCAGAGATTTCATGCGCGCTCTGGCTTCCCTCAGAGATGATTACAGGGTTTTGCCACCCGATGCTCCCTGACTGGAGTCGGGTGTAGCCCATTAGAAGACGATTGTGATTGATTGCTCGTCCAGCCAATCACGGGGCAGAATGAAAGCCTGGTGGGCGGATTGGTCTAGCGGAGCTGGAGATAGTCCAGGGCAGAAACAAAGACGGGGGAGAATTGACAGCTACATCAATGGGGTGTCACTGGTGTGTTTATGTGACCTGCTTTTAATATTTGGGGTCTGTAGCATAACCGTGTTCCAAAGTAAGCTAATGATAAGGTCAGATGTCCCGCGAATCACACTCCACCAGGGCATGTTTTCATCCTTGATATGTAAAATTTAAATTAAGCATTATGTATGCATGTAGGCTCATACATATAAAGTCATCGCTTGTTAATTCAGGATCAAATGCAAGTCTCTCAATTTCAGTAATGAGTGTCTACAAGGCCTCTTTGTTCTGTTATTTTCTTGCAGAACAAGTCGGTCTATGCTGCATGCCCAACCAGTGTGAGTGCTATCATGTTGTCTCCTTGCAGGCAGCCTCAGAGGTGGTTCAACACTGCTGACATCACGGTGGCTCACCAAAGCAGCCTGCTGAAGCAGCTCAACCAGCAGCGCCGCCAGGAGCTTTTCTGTGACTGCAGTGTGCTGGTGGAGGGCCAGCTCTTCAGGGCCCACCGCAACGTCCTGTTCGCCAGCAGCGGCTACTTCCGCATGCTGCTGTCTCAGGGGCCCGACGGGCTGTCTGACTCTGTCAACGCCACCTTCGACACCTTCAGCCCAGAGACCTTCGTCGTCATCCTGGATTTCATCTACTCCGGCCAACTCGACCTCTCGAGTCACAATGTGATTGAGGTGATGTCTGCAGCCAGCTACCTGCAGATGAACAATGTCATCAACTACTGCAAGAACTTCATCAAATCCTCCTTGGACATCAGCGTGAAAGATGAAGACAGTGACCGCTGCATCAGCTTGTCCGAGACCTGCAGTTTTAACAGTGGAGTAGTAGACGAGGCCTCCGAGCAGCAGCAGCAGCAAGGCCCCAGCTCTGTCAGCCCACCACCGGCGCTCTGGACCAGGGACAACTCACGATCCCAGTGTGGCTTCATGGGGAAGGACCCAGACCAAGAGTCATCTTCCTCAGCTCTAAAGACTAGCCCAAGCAGCCCTGCTGATGATCTCAATGCAGAGGCAGACGACCTGCAGGACCCCCAGGACCCTTTGTACACCTTGCCTGGATCAGAGCGCCGGCGAGGTAAAGGGGGAACTAAGAGGAGAGCATCCAATCGCTCCAACCAACCTGAAGACTTAGACATCGAGGAGGCGAGGACTCAAAAGGCTGAAAAGGCGGAGGAGCTGTATGCTACTCTGCCACCTATTTTGGGTGTTATTGGACACTTTAATAGAGGTGAGTTGTATGTGAGAAAATTAAAGGGCGACTTTTTTATGACATACTACATTGTGACATTTTATAGCTTTTTGATGACGAACTGTACTGTGAATTTTTATCTGCGCCAGGAGAATCATAGGATCGCTTGCCTATGTCTGTGAGTGAGTGTGCACCTCTGTGTCTGTCCACGGCTAATCTCGCATTCTGCTGCAGTGGCCAGTTATGGCTACATGCTCAAGGACCTCTTGTGGTTGCAGAAACTCACACTTTCTCAAAACACCTTTTTATTGTCTGTTTTATACTGCCATCGACTGCCTACCGACTCCTCACTCACTACACTTAACCAGCGCCCTGGCCGGTAGAGGCTGTTAATTATAAAATAGCTGAGTGCATCGCCGACCCCCAGCCGCTACTCGGCCCCTGGATACACAGTGTGGGAAAACAGTTTGCTCACTTTTATAGTTTTGGACGGTGTGCTTGGCTTACCAGTACCGACACTACTGTACCTCTCCACAACTTGGCCGCTGATATGCGGGCTGACAGCTTGGTCAGTTAAATTTTTTTTTTGGCCAGATTGTATGATGTGTCTTATACGCCGACTTTGAGCATCGCCGCTTGTTTTTGACTTTTTTATGACTTTTTCTCACATGCTATCCTAGGCCTTTTTCATGACTTTTTGTGACAAGCTGTTCTATGACTATTAATGACTTTTATGTGACATACTAGGAATTTTCATGTCAGACAATACTACATTTTTATTTTATTACTTTTAATGAATTTTTATGATTAGATTAGACTTTTTTTGACCTCCCTTACTATGACGTTATTATGAAATGCTGTACTTTTTATGTAATTTTTATGAAAAACTATACTATATCGTGTTTATGACTTTTTATTGACATGCTATAATACGACTTAATTACTTTTTTATGACATACGATACTATTACGTTAGACTTTTTGTGACATACCATACTATGACTTTTTATAACTTTTTTATTAAAAACTATACTATGACTATGACTTTTTTGACATGGCATACCATGACTTTTCCTGGCATACTATGATGTTTTGATGGCTTTTTGTGACAAACTTAACTATGACTTTTTTCAACATGCTATACTATGACTCTTTTATAACTTGCTATACTATGACATTTATATGATTTTTTCATGACATAATTCACTGTTACTCTTTGTGACATACTTTATTACAGTATGTCATTTTTATGAAATGCCATGAAATTACTTTTTATGACTTTTTTATGGCATACTTTACTTTTGTGATTTTATTTACATACTCTACGCTAACTTTTTTCATGAAAAGGTATATGATGACGTTTTCTTGACTTTTTGTGTCATGCTACACTATCACTATATTTTTTTATGACATGCTATACTTTTTTCATGACTTTTTTATGATAAGCTATATGACGTTTTTTGTGGCTTTTTGTTACATACTATTCTATGACTTTCTTTTTACATACTAATTTGTGACATTTTTACAACTTATTGTGACATACTCTGACTTCTTTATGACATGCTATACTATGATGTTTTCTTACCTTTTGTGACATACTTTACTATGACTTTAGTGTGACATACTATACTATGACATTTTATAACATTGTAAGATGTTTTTATGTCTATGTGACATACTGTGACTTTTTGGGACGCAGCATACTGTGACTTTTTTGAAATGTGATTTTGTAATGACATGCACTGTTTTTATTACTTTTTGTGACACACTGTACAATGACTTTTTCATGACATGCTATACTGACGTTTTAATTACTTTTGTGACATAGTTTAAATTACTTTTTTATGACATGCTATAAGATGTCATTTTTTATTCATGGTACATGTCTGACTATTTGTGTACTATTCCTTGACGTTTTTTAATGACATGCTCTGTGACATGCTACCATTTTATTCTTTTGACATGCTATACTACAGCATGTCTATGGCTATTTGTGACATATTATTCAATACATTTTATTATAACATCCTATATTATTACTTTTTATGATTTGTTTACGACATACTCTAATATATGACTTGTGACACTATTCATGACTTTTTATGACGCGCTGCACTGTGTTGTAATTTAGTTTTCATGATGAACTATACTATAATATTTTCATGAGATTTTGTGACATACAATGCTATGACTTTTTATGACTTGTTAAGAAAAACTGTATAATGACATTTTTATAAATTTTGATGACATGCTACACTATGACTTTTTGTGACATATTATATTATGACATTTGCATCTCGTGTCACAGCCGAGCTCTAAAAATGTGACAAAAATGAGCGACACGCGGTTATACTTGGTTGTTTTATTACAAAAAGCGTATATGAGTCAAATAAATGAATGAGAGGAATCTGTGAAGTCAGTAGTGTAGAAAATGCATGCCTGAAAATGTGCTGCATGGGTGTTGTGCTGCAAAAACAAAGAAAAGAAACCTGAAGCAACAACAAAGTTATGGAGTGAAATGACTTCTCCTGCTCAGGATTTTATTCATGTGCTACACCGGGCCCAGGTGTGTCCAGAGCAACTGATTACTCCCCAATCAGCAGCCCGAAGTACATCAAACATGCTATACTAGGATTTTTAATAGCATACTATATAATATGACGTTTTTATGACTTTTTAATGACAAACTATAGTATGTCTTTTTTTATGACATTTTGTGACATACTTCACTATGACTTCTTCCAGACGATAAGTCTGAGTTGGAGAAGTTATTTCTCATGGCGTGCTCCAAGAACAGAAATGTGGACAGTGAGAGCAGAGTCTTTAACCAACAGTGGACAGACTCTTATATGTTCATTCTTCCCACGGACAGTTTAAAACCAGTATGTCTCTTCTGTTCAGTGACCGTGGTGATTATTAAAAGGCAATGTGAAGCACCACTACCAGACAAAGCACACATCTTTTGAGCAAACGTACCCATTCAAAGCCGAAATGAAGGCACAAAAAAGAAACGATCTTAGAGTCCAATATGATCAGAATGTTAAGATGGTAGTTCACTGCCCAACAATGCTGTAAACACAAGAATAGAACTAAAATAAATGGTTTCAATAACAGATAAAGTCTCTATACCATGACCTTTTTATGACTTCTTTCGACATACTATACTATGACTTTTTTCACATACATTCACATCATTTTACGAAATCAAATACAATGATTTTTTTGATGATTTATGATTTAAACTATAATATGATTATTTTGACATGCTACACTATGCCTTTGTTAGACATGCTATAATTTGACTTTTTTATAGATTTTTTTGACATACTACATTACGACTTTTTTAAAATGCTATATATTTTTAAGTCTTTTTTTAGTCATACTATATTTAGATTTTTTATGACCTTATTTATCATGCTTTTTCAATAAATACTGTATTACTATTTTTTCATGACTACATAGTTTTCAAGAGAAGTGAGGAACGGAATAATATCAGCAGAGTAGCATGAGTACCCTTCAAAAGAAGCCAGTTCTCTCCATAGCCAAGGAATAAACAGAAAGCCACAGTTCTGAACAGTTTCTCTTCCTCTTTTGCAGACTCCAACCCCATTATGCGTTTCAAATGTCCCTTTTGCACACACACGGTGAAAAGGAAGGCAGACCTGAAGCGTCACTTGCGCTGCCACACTGGAGAGAGGCCGTACCCCTGTCAGGCCTGCAATAAACGCTTTACACGCCTGGAGCATCTTCGTAGCCATTTTGAGACGGTATGTTTATTTACAACCAGGAGGTGAATGTCCTTCATTTGTGTTGTAACAGCTTCAGAAACATAGAATTTGGGATAAAACTTACACTCCAGGCTGCGCCATAGCGTACAAAAACAAAAGATCTATTGTTTTCTAAGGTGTATTAGTGTTTTCAACAACCCCTTTGTTGTTATACGGCTACAGAAACGCAAACGGGAACACTTTTTGATGTAACAATTTGTGTTTCTTCTTTCACCACAGATACATCAAGCCAGGAAGCTGGTGTGTAGGAAGTGTAAGTGTCAAGTGACGGACGAGACTGGGCATGTGGTGTGTGAGGGCACACGACGCTACCGCATGTGCACCGCATGCATCCAGGAAGTGGATTGTGATGACATCCCCATGGACAGTCTAGATAGTGCCAGTGAGGAGCCGGCCCTCTTATTGGGGGTGGACGGGGAAGAGGAGGGGGACAGCAAGAGGAGCTGGATGGTGGCCGATGACGACGACGACGACGACCTGGCTGAAGACTCGGGGGCCGACCTCATCATCCAGCAAGTGGACGACAGTGATGAGGAGCTGCAGTGAAATGGAACCAAAGTGTGTGTGCAGAGAGCATGCAGGAATAATAACCTTTGTATGTGTGTGTGTGTGTGTGTGTGTGTGTGTGTGTGTGTGTGTGTATGTGTGTGCTTAAGCCATGCAAGAGAATTTATGCAAAAAATATGTGATCCACTAATGTAAATACACACACTTGATATATGTTAGTTGTCGCTTATTTAAATGCAACTGGTTAATCTTTACTTTAAATGAGATGTTGACCTTTGTGACAAAGTGGAATGCTTTTTGCTAAGCTTCATAAAGATATGCAGTATCCAAAGCTGTGTTTCCTTTGATTGTATTATGGTTAAATGATACTCTTTCAAAGATGTGTTTTTCCATATGCATGGAAGAGCACTCTGCTATGTTTTGGACAGAATAATGACTCTAATGCTATTTCCCTACTCGCTGTAAGGAAAGTCAAGAGCGGATTTTTCCCAATTTTACACAAATGCAGTTTTTATGATTATGTTTGATTATGATATGCACTATGATACAAAACCAATTATAATTTATTTGTTTGTTTGTTTTGTTACTTTTTGACACATTAAAGATATTTTATAAATTTCTGTTTGTGCGTTATTTCACCCCATTGTTGCATAAAGGGAAGTACAATTGAATGTTATAAAACGAAATTATACTCGGGACAAGTATTTTTAAGGAGAAAAAGTGGAATACGCAAATAAAATGCAGATTGTCTGTTTTCAGAATGCTACGATAACATTGTTTCTACGCTGTGATTTTATGTAATTTATGTAACTTTAAATGACATCACAATTTAAGACCTTTTTGAGACTACAAAGACATTCTATTCTATACATTTTTAATAACTTTTCCACACAATACTATGACTTTTTATTGAATATTTTCAACATACTATGCTAGGACTATAACTTTTTCTGACTTATTGCTACATAATATACTATAATCTTTTTAAGACATGCTGCACTGGACTTTCAATGACTATTTTCAACATACTATGATCTGACCTTTTACGACATACTTTTTTTGTGAATTTTTCGATTTACAATACTAGGAATTTTTTCAATTTTTTTTATGACTTTTTATGACTATTATCGACATGCTATAGTACGCCCTTTAATGTTGTTTTTTAACATACTTATGACTTTTTTTCGACATAATATACTTTTTTCAACTTGCTATACTATGGCTTTTTGTGACTTTTTTCAACATGGTATAGTGAGATTTTTTTTGACTTTTTTTTGACATGGTATATGAGGACATTTTTACAATTTTTTGATCTCTTTTCGACATACTACACCATGACCTTTTTCGACATGCTCTAGTATGATTTTTATGACTTCCTTTCAACATGCTATACTATGACTTTTTTATGACTTGATTTTGACATACTATACTGACTTATGACTTTTTTTGACATCCTCCAGTATGACTTTTTTATGACTTTTTTGAGATGATATAGTATGCCGTTTTAATTATTATTTTCAATGTTATATAGTATGATTTTTTATGACGTTTTTCAACATGCTATCGTATGATTTTTTTATGACTTTTTTCAATATGCTATACTATGACTATTTTGTGACTTTTTTCTGACATACTATAGCATAGCATGCCTTTTTATAATTTTTTCAACATGCTATACAAGGACATTTTTTTCCTACATATTATGGCTTTTTTATGACTTATTTCAACATGTTCTGCTATGACTATTTTATGACTTCTTTCCGACATACTATAATAACGACTTTTTTCGACATGCTATACTCTGACTTTTGTATGACTTAATTCCGACATACTATAGCATACCTTTTTATAACTTTTTCAACATGCTATACAAGGACATTTATTTCCTACATATTGTCGTATGGCTTTTTTATGACTTATTTCAACATGTTCTACTATGATTATTTTATTACTTTTTTCCGACATACTAACATATAAGGACTTTTTTTTGACATGTTATATTATGAATTTTTAGGATTATTTTCGACATACTAGAGTATGACTTTCTCATGACTTTTATTAACATGCTATACGAGGACATTTTTACCACGTTTTTTGACTTACTATAGTATGATTTTTTTATGACTTTTTTCTACATACTTTTGTACGACTTAATTCCGACATACTATAGCATGCCGACATACTATAGTATGCCTTTTTATAACTTTTTCAACATGCTATACTATGACTTTTTCAGTACTTTTTTCAATATGGTATACGAGGACATTTTTCCAATTTATTTTCGACATATTATAGTATGGCTTTTTTATGACTTTTTTAGACATGTTCTACTATGACTATTTCATGACTTTTTTCGAAATACTCCTGATATACCCGAAGAAATCCAGTGGTTTGTGCATATGACCACTTGACCTTGTTGAGAGTCAGGTTCTTCTCCTTCAGTCGCTGAAGTTATTCCCTAAGAGCTTGATCAGGGGCAGATCTTGTTCTGCTACCAAAATGTCATCACTTAGGTTGGTAACTCCTGCAATCAATGGCTTGTTGAATGGCATTTTGGAAGACTTCTGCAGTAAAGGAGATGCCAAAGTTTTGTCATTTGTAACGTCCCAGTCCCACATGAGTGGAGAATGTTGTGATGTATCGCAAGGATGGCTCTAGTTCTAAGTGACAACATCCACAGTTGAAATTCTTTGAGTGATTGTATCAAGTCTCAAAACAACAAAAATAACATAGTGCATACATTACATACAGTACATACACAGACTGTCGCCAGTCCACAAATAAATTGCACACTGCCCATCGTACAACACACCTGTAGTCATCGTAATAGTGTACATAATATGTACAGTAAGAGTAGAGCAGCCTCATCAACATATAATCATCATAGAAAGTACATGTGTACAGTTAAAATAACAATCAGCGTTATAGGGGTTAGGCTCTGGCTAGCTTGTCATTTAGGGCTTTGATGGACAGGGGGACAAAGGAGTCCTTAGCAGTTAAGCCTGCAGTGGGGGAAGAAGCCGGTATTCAGGTTGGAGGACATGGGTGGGGTGAATGCCTCACCTGCATATTTGAACATAAATTAAAGAAGATTAAATACAGAAGAAATGAAGTTTAATGGCGATTTATTTTTCTATTAGTTACATTTAATACCACTGGGTGAATAAACGGATACACAAAATTGTTATTTTTTCAATTCACATTCCCGGCCCATAGATGGCGCTGCGGGGCTGTTGTCATCTGTGAGGTGTCCGTACCTCTCCTGTCGAGGAAGAACTGACGTCAGAGGCTGTAGGCTGGACCATCATGGCGGCGGTGATGAGACTTGTCAACAGAAATGCTTTAGGTCCAGCAATGGGTCAGCAGTATGTGGCGTTCAGCTCAGCGGCAAAGGTCAACGCAGTGAGTTTCCTTTTCGCGTTTATCTTCCAGCAGCTTCCACTGTGCACGACGAGCCAGCGGCCTGGACGGTGATGCGTGTCCGCTACCTGTTAGCCTCCTCTGCGGTCAAGCTAACATAGTTGGTGACCTAAGCAGCTGTTGCTATTTTACACCAGTATTAAATATCTTTGTGTGTGTGTGTGTAGGCTGGCGCCAGAGCAGGTCGAGGTCTTCCAGAGAAGGTGAAAATAGTGGAGGTGGGACCCAGAGATGGTCTTCAGAATGAAAAGGTAACCTTATGTGATTTTGATTAGTTAATCATTAACGTTACACAGCAGCTATTAGCTAGGAAATAGCATTAATAGCTTTACTGATGTGGAGCAGGTGCAGAGCTCATGAGTTGTGTAACCCGGATGAAGGAATGTCAGTCGTGCATTTGTGTCAGTGGTTTTCAAGTGTTCCTCTTCTTGTGTCTTCACTGCTTCCACTCACAGACTATCGTTCCAACGGAGACTAAAATTCATTTGATTGACATGTTGTCAGCATCAGGGCTGTCAGTCATTGAGGCCACCAGCTTTGTATCGCCGAAATGGGTTCCACAGGTGAGTTTGTTGTCCCAGAGCCATTCATGTGGATAGTGCTGACCTGCCCCCACGTAGGGTGGTGTACAAACTGCATGGACGTGGCTTGTTTTCTCCAGCACTAATTGGTTTTCTGTCGTCTGCGTCCAAATGTCAGATGGCAGACCAGGTGGAGGTGATGAAAGGGATCGATAGGAAACCTGGAGTGTCTTACCCGGTCCTCACCCCCAACCTCAAGGGTTTCCAGGCTGCTGTGAGTTTCTTACACTGACATAGCATAAATCTTACACTGCAGGTGATGTGTCTAAATGTTTCATGTAAAATGCCCTCTTCTTGCTCTTACTTAACGACAGGTGAAGGCAGGCGCCTCAGAGGTAGCCATATTTGGTGCTGCATCTGAGCTGTTCAGTAAGAAGAACATAAACTGCTCAGTGGACGAGAGTTTACAGCGCTTTGACGAGATTATGACAACAGCTAAAGAGGCTGGTGTGCCAGTTAGAGGGTAGGCTCTACACATTTCTAAACCATTGGAAATATAGAGTGCGACTTTTGCATGAATTTCATCCCTGTTTTTTGTCACCGCAGTTATGTGTCATGTGTTCTTGGATGTCCGTATGAAGGCGTGGTGGCACCTGAAAGAGTTGCACATGTGAGTTCTCACTTGATACATGTGTACACTACATTGACTGTCGGACATCTATTGATCGTCCTTTGACAAATAGCATGAACACAACAGAAGCACTGTTCATGCAGCCGGGTCAAGCTTTGACTCTATCTTGCAGGTAGCTAAGCGTCTGTACTCCATGGGCTGCTATGAGATCTCTCTGGGTGACACTATTGGAGTGGGGACTCCAGGTAGCATGATTAAAATGCTGGAGGCGGTGAGCAGAGAGGTGCCAGTTAATGCCTTGGCCGTGCACTGCCACGACACCTACGGCCAGGCCCTGGCCAACATCCTCATAGCCTTACAGGTCAGACCTGGTCCTGTAATGCTATTTAAAAAAATATCATTGAATGATGTAGTTAGTGCGATACAATGTGCAAATTCTTTTTTTGTGTTTTGCAGATGGGAATCAGTGTGGTAGACTCGTCAGTAGCTGGGCTGGGCGGCTGTCCCTACGCCAATGGGGCATCTGGAAATGTTGCTACTGAAGATGTAGTCTACATGCTGCATGGACTTGGGATTCAAACAGTAAGAAGTCACACTTTATGTTCCTCTTTAGCCTCCCCCCTATGTTTTAGTCCATTTATAGTATAGATTAAAGACGCTGCTCTTGCTTTTGTGTTTAGTTTAATATATTATTTTTCTTATGACTGCTCTTTCGTGAATTAAATGCGCAAACTTTGCCAAATGTTCCAGTCCACCCCATCGTGATTTAGATTGCAGTTGTGATTATTGTGTACGATGTGAGCTCCCCCAGGTTTGACCCTTTGACTCTCTGCCCTCACCTCAGGGAGTGGACCTCTCAAAGCTGATGGACGCTGGAGCTTTCATCTGTCGCACCCTGAACAGAAAGACCAGCTCCAAAGTGGCGCAGGCTACCTGCAAGCTGTAGACAAAAGTCAAAGTCTTTTTCACACACTGTACACTGCAACACAACCATGTAACCCGGAGCCATCCTCCTCTGTATGTTCAGTTCTCCCTATTCTAATTTTAGTTTATAACATTTAGATGGTACTGAACCCTCCCACTGTTTGAATAAAGTATCTGATTAAATATTCACTCCATGATAGCTGGAACAGTGCCTTATGTAAAGTCGGTCTAATCGTACAGATGATACTTATTGGAAACTGTGCCTTAACCTGTTTCTTTAACAGTGTGCTTACATTCCTTTCTGGGCAGTGGGTAAATCACAGACTTTGTTTATATTTATAAATGAACCAGTAAAATTTAATATGTTAGCGATGGATAAACAGTCCGTTATGAACTTGGGCATTGTACTGGCTGTATATTTATTTTAAATTGCCTCTCTTCAAATTAAACATGTACATATCTGACGAGATTGTGAATTTTAAAAATAAATAATATTTTATAAATCAAATGTGTCCTTGATCTAAAGTTGGCAGCATTGTTATGAATATACAGGCTCGGAAACATAGTTGGATGCGTAACCTCTTTTTACAAATGTTGCTTACAAAGTTTATTTGAAGCCATCTTTGACCATATAAGGAGCTCAAACTTTACAACCTCCGTAGTGTTTTTGCAGTTTGTTGCAGAAATGATTCAGAATAAACAAACTTTTCTTCGCCGCACCTTGTTAAAACCTGACTGACACGTCTGACAGGCAGACTGAGATTCTTCACAACCCTTTAAAACATACATCACTAGGCACCACAAACAGTAAAATAGCATGTCATGGTGACTCACAGTGAATTCTAATGGGTAAATATTTATTGGCATGCAATCCTGGTGATCGTTGGTGTAAGAAGTTATTATGAGTCGGAAGCAATGGAAAGATTCAGGTCCTTAGCTTGTCCCTCCCACATATAAATAGAAACTATATTCCAGAAATAAAATGAACACCAAACAGCAACACACATTCAATACATTTAATATATTTAGTTTTGTAAGAAATTACATTAACAACAAGAGCCATAAAATACATTTTCACCTGATGTCCACAGTGGACAGTTCGTATCACAAAAATGAGTTATAGTTCAATGAGCCATCGGTTTGTCCAAACTTCATCCCACCTCCTCTCCTCTGCGCTCCAGCACTACCAACACAGAATTCAACAGCAGCATTCCTTTTGTCTTATTTAAATCAACAGTGGTCTTGGATGAGGCGAGTTTGTGTACAAGCAAGTCAAAACACAGGCAGTCTATGTACAGCGTGACTGTGCAGCATAAACCAAGCATATGTCTGCTGAGGCTTTAGATGATGTAGAAATCTACTAATGATATAGGAGTTCTGAGAAAAAATAAAATTGGCCAGTTTGCACACCTTCAAGTATTACTCAGCCATGACTCTATGACTTTGGAGTGTCCACACTCCAATGCAGAATATTTGTACAATTCTTTGATGATTTTAAGGTCATCGGGCTGGCAAATGGGGAAGATAAAGCTATGATGTACGTTCAGTTAAACAAAGGAGATCACTGAAATGTGCATGTAACATTCAGTGACACCAGAGCACCCTGAGACACCACTGTATTCACTGGCAGGGAGGGTGAATACCTCTGCCAGGTGTGTCCTGCCCTCCTTGCGTGATGCTGAGCGTCTCATTTCCTCCCCCTCCTGTGTCAAAACTCTATTCACAAGAAAGACAGAAAGCTCGGGTATGTTCTAATATGGGTGAAGGGGTGACGTTGAAAAGGCACACAGACCGTTATCGTATTCAAAGAAGAAAGCCATTGTGTCCTTTACAAATCATTTTTGGCTCTAGCTCACTTGTAAATATTGTGGATGTTGACTTGGAAACCAAAGTTCATGCGCTCAAAAAGAGTCTTAGATGTGGACACAGGGGCCCACAGGATGAATCCAGTACTGATGACTCAACTTCCAGGGTCTGACACACATGGAAGCTTTTGGCTCATTGTTCTGAGTCTGATGTTTGTGATTGGGTTCTAGCCCAAGCACTGGTGAGTGCTGCAATCTGACTTCCGTTCACTTAGAACTGGACAGATCAGGAGCAGAGGCCCGTATCTTACCTTCCAGTTTGAGTCCAGATAGCCTGTGTGAAGGCTTCATTGCGGTCCTAAAGGATGGAGGCTGATCTTTCAGGTCCCGCTTCAGCAAGGACACATTGCTGTTGCTGAAGGGGTCCTTGTTGTAATCATCCTGACGCACAGCCGTGTTGCGACTGCGCTTACCCATCTTGTTCGCGATACGTACAAAGCGCTTGGAGATGAGATAAAGGATCTCGCAGATGTTGAGGACGATGCAGAGGCCTGAAGCTCCAACCATGAAGTAGGTGAAGACCTTCTTCTCAGTAGGGTGGCCGATGTAACAGTCCACCAGGTTGGGGCAGGGCGCCATGTGGCACTTGACCAACCTTGGCAGGTAGAAGCTGTCGTAGATGTGGTGGAGGATGTAGAGGAAGGCGACCTCGATGCCTGTCTTTACGAAGAGGCTGATCAGATAGGTCCACCACAAGCCGCCGTGCTTCTTGCCCGTGTTGCTGTACAGCTTGTTGGTGTCTCCGTGCTTTGCCGCGTGCTTGCGCTCACGGTCGTCGCGGTACGCCACGTGCATGACCACCATGAAGGACGGGCAGGTGACAAAGATGAGCTGCAGGGCCCACAGGCGGATGTGGGAGATGGGGAAGAAGTAGTCGTAACAGACGTTGGCACAGCCGGGCTGCTTGGTGTTGCAGTCAAAGTCCTTCTGCTCATCGCCCCACACTCGCTCCGCTGCCACCACGTACACCATCACCCGGAATACAAACACCACAGACAGCCATACCCGCCCAAACGCCGTGGAGTATTTGTTCACCCCACTGAGGAGGGCTTGGAAGGTCTTCCAGTCCATGTCCTTGGCTGGCAGTCAGAACCCTCTTCTGAGGAATTCCTCTCTTGCTAGTAGTAGTTTATCTTCAAACCTGGACGAGACAGATTGAAAAATGGGTGAACAGGCTTTCATTGTCTGCTGAGTATTCTGCTTTCACTCTGTGTTAGTGGTGTCTCACTTCAATAACAAATAACTTCTCATTCTGACTTTTTAAACCACACATGTATCTTCAAAAGCTGATTTAATGCAAAAATAAAAAAATAAAAACACCTCCCACAGGCCTCATTCATCAACCTTGCCAGAAACAACCACTGATGACAATAGCACAGAGTTAGGAGGAGGCCTCGAGCCAAACCGTTCCTTAGGGAAACAAGTTGGACCAACGTTATTAACACAACCGGAGTTCATGTATATTTTAGAAAGCAGTACGACAACTTCACAACTTGGATACAGATATTAATTTAGGAAACAAAGTAAACGCTATCAGCTTCTGTTGTGTGTGTGTTAACATAAAAACACACTTACGCCATTTAAATGTGTAGGAGTTTAAAAAACTTTTACGCACAGGCTGCGTGGTTATTCAGACATATTTATTTATTTTTGGCTCTTAACCGACATAAGGCCCTTCGACAAACACCAGGGATTATTTATCGTTTCATAGACTACCGTACAAAAAGCCAACAAATCCAAATCAACTCCTTTCCATTTGGCTGAATCGCGAACTTCCTCAACTCATCGCAGACACACCAAAAGTTAATTACAGCAAGTTGTTCACTTACCAAAAGAAGCATTAGTCCATTATTAGTTTAAAGACAAGCGATGGGGGATATCTTGCCGCTCTAACGTCGAATTTGGTCCTTTAACGCACAGATTTGTCTCCTTTCACCAGGTAGACGAGCGCAGGGTTGAGAAATGCGCCTGTGGGTGGGGTTAAAGAAGACAGACTGGAGCTGCCCCAGATGTGCTCTCTCTCTCTCTCTCTCTCTCTCTCTCTCTCACTCTCTCTCTCTCTCTCTCTCTCACTCTCTCTCTCTCTCTCTCTCACACACACACACTCTCTCACACACTCACTACTTACTCACTCACACACACACACACACACACACACACACACACACACACACACACTCACACACACACACACACACACACACAGGTAACACAGAAACCATCTCCAGGTGCTTTGGGTAGGTTTGGAGCTAGACCTAAAACATGGACAATAAGTTTGGAGCCAGATAAACCAATGAGGGCCTCGGTGATTTGATCCCACACATATGTGGTTCAGGTCCCAGTTTAGCACAGTGGACAGTTTTGAGACGACAGATTTGGGTCCATTGTTTTATTTGTGCATGTCGGGAAGTGTTGCCTCCCTGTCCCAACGTGTTTCTGAATGTTTCGTGATACGTACCAGGCAGACACACCCTGGTGAATGCATTTGATTGTTGTTGTGCGTCTCCAAAAGCATGACAAGTGGTAAGGCAACATTCTTTCTAGGATTCTCTAAAGGGGGAGTAGGTTATTGAAAAAAAGGTGAGGTGGAGATGAAGCGAAGAGTGTCAGTTCATATCTTACAGAGTTCTTTTGTTGTCATGTAACCACAACAATATTCAACCTTTCCCTGTTCCTCCTTCTCTCATTTCCTGCAGTGTTAATTTATTTATTCCTTCCTTCATTCTATTAACACCCACGGCGGAGCCAAAAAGGCGTACTGTGTTTCCTTCATTCTTTTTAAGGCCAAGCTCTTCTCAGGTAACACTATCACAATTCATGAGCCTTTTGAGCTCATCCTCATTGTCAGATCATGAGCTTTTGTCCCCACTTCACCATCCACTCACTTTCACGATCAAACCTATGTTTCTTGCCCTTTACAGATAGGATTTCCCAATCAAACTGCCTTAATGTGTTTCTGTTCTGTAGGGAACACCCATGTCCCTATTAGTAGTGTTTGCAGATGAATTCAAGTCCTCAGACACTGTCACGAATATCAAAGATCAGCATGCCATAGCTGTGCAAGGGCTTGCCAGTTCTTGCAGACCGGTGCCTGCCTTCAGAGCTATTGAATCCTGTGTTTACATTACACAAAAGGATAAAAGACCAGTCTTAAGTCAAGTCAGAGTTATTTGCATTGTTCAGGCGAAACACATACAATGTCTCAGTGAGCTGTTTATTTCAGGCTCACTAACAGCCACAGCTCACAACCAAGCCAAATATTTCTCGATAGATAAGAAAGGGCTCGCCAACAAAATGTTTCTGACAACAACAGAAGTTAATACATGTAATTTACATGGTTCTTATATAAGAGCTGTTACACTTAGGTAACCTGACAATGAAGCTGAATTTGTCTTATTTCACTTTGTTAAAATGTGGATGTGAAACTGAGATGTGGACAGAAATGCAGGTATCTGGTGCCAGGCTAAAACATGGCTACCCAAAAGTAATGAAATTTAGAAGAAGGTTGTTTCTCATATTTCCATCTGTCAACAGCTGAATTCATAATGCCAAGAGTAAAAAGTTACACTATGAAGAGGATGTTATGGTTGCTCTGGATTCTCTAAATGAATCACTTCACCTCGAAGTCTTTCAGCCATGAGCTAAAAGTCTCGGGATATTGTTAGAAGTATCAAGTCTCTCTTTTCAGGAAAGTTCATCTGTGGCATAAAGCTCGGGCACGTGAACACATCTGTACTTGCAGCATTAGGAACAGTTCAGCAGACCATAACTGAACTTGAGATGGGGGAGGGGAAAGAGCGGTTGCGTCTTGGCTCCAGATGAAGAACTGGTCCAGGCAGTCTGGCGGGACACACCTGGAGGAATGCACACCGTGACTCAACCTCTGCCACCAGCGAGTCTCAACAGGACAGAACAAAACAGGATAAACACATGACTTCTCACTGCTGGCAATGTGAAAGAGGGACATGTACCAGCGCACAGAGAACCAGAACAGAAATACTACCCGAAAAAAGTTGGGAGGATCTTGTAGTGGGAGTGAATGTCGGCTCATTATAGAAACACCCAGTCAGGCTGGACAAACAGAATAAGGACAAAGAGAAATGTGCATACTGAAGCTTGCTTTTACTTTCAGAGATTGTTACACGTTACTATATTTGTTGTAACACTTGAGAGTAAAGATCCTAATATAAAAGTGATGCTTGACTCAGACTTAATCACTTCACCCAGGTAATTGTAGCATTGGCCCCAGAGAATGCATTTTCAATCCCTACTGTGTACTTGTGTATGGGTGGGTTGACGATTAAGTTCTTTTGAGTCTCAAATCACCCACAAAATAAAAAACTTCCACTTCCTTCACGTGGATCCATCTGTGCCATTTCTGTTGCCACCCCGACACAGAGGAGGTGGAAAACAACATTCCAGCAGCAGCTTGTCTTCACCCAAATCAGTCCCCTAGTTACCATGATAAGCCACAGACCTCTCTCGTTAAGAGTTCATCGGAACTACCGTCTACTGAAATAGACAACAGTTCCAATGAAAACTGTGCCTGCAGATTATCCTTTCATTGTTTGTGGAAACACACTTTTCTGTTTGAATTTTTTAAATATCATTCTTTATTGCTCTGAGCAGCGCAAACTGTATTTGTTCTCCTAGGTATGAGGTGGCAGGACAAGTTTCAGCGTTAGACGTCATGAAACCCCAGCAGAGCAAACTGATAATATCTGACTGGCACAACACCACAAGGAGAGAGTAAGAAAACATGTGTTTCAACTCTCACTATACGTCGCTCCTATCGCATGTAAATACTGGAAAGATCTATTCAGAGGCTGCCCGGACCGACAAATTCCTGCACTGGGTGGGTCCACGCCCGTCAGCACGGATGATTCAAACTGAGGGGTGGGAGACTCCTCCTCTGCCCTCCTCAACGTACCAATCAAACCACAGAACTTGCAGAATCAACAAATCATTTGGCTGGTTTACATTGCTCTTTAGTATGTTTCCTATGCTAAGACGTGTTGGGTGTTAATGCAGTATGGACCTCTCTAAATTGACTTCCTTGATGTTACGGAAGGGGAAAAAGCACATTTTCAAATCATGAAAATTATTATCTTTAATGTAAAATATTATGAACAACTATGCAGCCGCACTGCACCTCAGTGCTGTGAAATATGAACCTCCTGATGTCATTAACGACTGTGTTTACAGCTCTGCATTTGGACTTCATTGCTCTATTCTGCCTGTGTACAGGAATCAGTTTAAAACAGGTCAGCACAATAACATACAGGACAACACAATCTTTCAAACCTCTTGATAAATTAAGGGCAGTATTCACAAAGAGTCAGACACGAAGGGGTGAGTGAAGGGGAAATGACGCTGTACGGCTTGAACTAAACATTTCGGGGTTGGGCACTGAGCAGAAGGAAAATCTTACACACAAAACCTCATGCGAAACCATCTCCAAACTATGGAGTGACTCATGTAATTGGTCTCAAGGCCTAATTTAAAGGGCTGTCGGAAAAAAAGGGAAAAAAAGAAAAAGAAACTGTAAATACTTTGACCCAAACCCCACCACAGTGAGCACATTCCAGATCAATGACACATACGTCCTGAGGTCCAGAATTTATAATTCTTTGACACATGGACACAGTAACAGTAAAGAACTATCTCTATTGTAGTTCGGTCTCTGAGCACTCAAATGTCTGCTGACAAGTCTCTTAAGGAAGTGCCGGTGGAGAGGCATATTTCCTTTACCATGACACTGTTTTTCATTAAGTCTCTGCCTTTATTCTCAGGATCTCAACATACGGCGACGCTGTATGAAGGAGCAGGCGTATCAGGGGGGGCTTTGTCCGGCAACTTTAGAGAGTTTGACTCCATCAGGGTCGATCCACTGGACATCGCGTTGGTCATGATGTGGCGAGACTTGTGGGGCGCGGTGAAGCATTCACGGCAGCGTTTCCCAATCAGGTAGACGATTTCAAAAACAGAGAGGAGGATGCAGGCCAGGCTGGTGACCACCATGAAGATGGTGAAGATTCGTTTCTCAGTGGGCCGAGCGATGAAGCAGTCCACCTTGTTGGGACAGGGCTTCTGTTCACACTTGATGAGCGAGGGGAAGTCATACCCCTCGTAGATGTGGTAGACGAGGTAGACGAAGGTGGCATCCACAGCGATTTTGAAGAACAAAGTGAGGACGTAGGTCCACCACAGGCCCCCGCGCTTCTTGCCCGTGTTCTTGTAGAGGTGGTGGCAGTTCTCGCCATACTTGAGCCGGTGTTTCCGTTCCCTGTCATCCCTGTAGGCTACATGCATCACCACTAGGAGAGAGGGGCAGGTGACGAAGATGAGCTGCAGGGCCCACAGCCGGACGTGGGAGACGGGGAAGAAGTGGTCATAGCAGACATTGTGGCACCCGGGCTGAGCTGTGTTGCATTTGAAGTCTTTCTGTTCGTCGCCCCATACCTTCTCCGCCGCAACCACAAACACCATGACCCTAAAGAGGAAAACGATGGAGAGCCAAACTCGCCCGAAGGCTGTGGAGTACTTGTTCACCCCACTGAGGAGGCCCTGGAGGAATGCCCAGTTCATGACTAGGTTTGTTCACAGTCTGTCTTCTCTTCCTGCTGATGGAAGACAGAGGAAGCTCTTTACAGTTGAAACGGCAGACAAAACTCAGGTATCTACCAGCCTGAGGCCAAAAGAAAACAGTCATATATATATCTCAGATGTAAAAGAAGGCTGTTACAACAACAAAAAGTGCGGTAGAACCGGATCATTAACATGTAAATTCATGTGGTTACGTATCTTTGACGTCAAAAAATTATAAGAAATACGAGCAAAATGAGCCCATAAAAGGGCATCAAAACTTTTATTAGACAAGAGACTTTCTTATAAAATAAGAAGAACCGTTGTAATTCATCGCTGTGTAGTCAGTCAAATCTTACTCAGACATTCACTTCCAACGACTACGGCAAACGCATTTAAGTTTTCTCATTCCGTGCGCGATTGCGCGTATCCCAAAAAAACACGCCTAAAACTTCCTAAATCGGGTAAATCCCAACAAGTACTGTCGGACTCGGTGCTTTACATATAGATTTGAATACTTACAGTTTAAACGCTGCCGATCAGATTCCCTGTCGGAGCGGCTTTGCTGGATGAACTCCACCGATGAGAATCTCAGTACATTGCTCAACAGGACGGGAGTGGAAGGGGAGGAGTTGTTTTCCTGCGACGTCTTCTCTCCACTCAACCTGCTCAGGTGCGGCAGCTCCACCGCACCGAATACTTGTTTGTCCAATAAGGTGAGGAAAAAGGGCGGTTTGTTTTGTTTATATTTATTCAACTTATAGAAGTTTGTTCATAATGTACAATAAATAACCCATTACATAGATATATTTTACCATGCATCATTTGCATGGTGCATCTCTAATTTGGAACCAACTCAGATTTTATGTATGAAAATAAATGGTTTTATGATTAATTAATTAATCACAAAGCCTTTGACAATATTGACTTAGATTTTTTACTGAATTTAAAAACAAGTTAAACTTGAAAATAATAATAATAATGTGTTGTAGCTCTGCAGCTATAAAAAGGGTTAAACCAACAATCAGCAGATCAATGGAACATTTCATTTGTACAAAGCAAAAGGCATCAAGCTGTGGCTTCTTTATAAAAAAAAAAACGATGTTTATTGAAATATTTACATGGCAGATGATGTGACCTCAAAGTACAAAAGACCATGAACACACTCGTGCTCTCAGACATACACGGCCCCCATTGACAACATATACAAACAAGAACACATGTCTTGTTCCGTCACACAAACTCCCCACAGTCAGAGATGATGACCTTCTGCTTCGGCTTGCCTTCCTTATTTCCCTCAGCCTGCAGGAAAAAACACACATTTAAAAGATACACCGATTTCTTGCCAAAAATGTAGCCTGATGGTCTTAAACTGCATACTCATATTACAATATGAACAAGAAGATCAATTTTATATTAAGCCCAGATGGATGTTTGAGTTCAACATTTAATGGTACAATCATAATCTAGATAACATTTGTGAACAGTATGATCAATAATATTATCTTTCTATTTCTGAAACTTAAAAAACAAGATGAACTTGAAATCTTCATCTCCTACTTGTTGTAAAAAAATGGCTCAATGATACAATTATTAATTTTTAGAGATAAGATACTCGTCTAACTGATTTGTGGATTATGTTAGGGGGCAGGGTGTCTAACAAGAGCATTAATATGCAGGTCTGTGTCCTGAGAAACATTGAAACACTTGCTCCAACTATCTACAGTACAACTAACACACACTATGTGTTTCTATCTTCATTTATTGCCGGTCCCTATTGGTGACTGAATACTCTTCTGGACATTTTGTTGCATTAGTGGGTTTTGCCTATGCAGCTTTCTTTGGTATGCATGTATGTACATACATACATACCAAAAAAACTTTTTACTAAGCTTTATACTGTATATTGTGGCCTCTTCTTTTGGGTGGGTGGGGGAGCTTAGGGTTCCTGTTTTTGCTGATTTTCGTCCTCCTTTTACTTGTATGTGTATTTTGCAAATTGGAAAGCCCCAAAATTAGATTAAAAAAAAATCAGGATAAACCTCACATCATCCCTAAATATGTATTGCATTTGGTAGACCAACAGATTATTCTACTAATTTCAACAGTTTGTTAATTTTGTTAATTAAACTGCTAAAAAAAGTGATGTTTACATTTAAAGAACACATTGGGTAATATTTAAGGTTTGTTACTGAAAGCCCTTTTTGCTGTGAGTGATTTTAAACTTTCATTACCACTGAAATAACTTTCACTTTACAAATAGAAAACTGTGATTGCAGCAGTGAACCCTTTCCACCTTTACCTCCATTGCACGGACAACATCCATCCCCTCCACCAGATCTCCGAACACCACGTGTTTGCCATCCAGCCAGTCTGTTTTGTCGGTGGTGATGAAGAACTGAGAGCCGTTAGTGTTTGCCCCAGAGTTGGCCATGGAGAGCTGTCCTGTGAGCACAAGAGAGACACGGTTTGGCCAGTTACCCACAGGACCCGCTGGTAAACGTAAACCATGATGACCACCAACACGCACTACAAGAGCTCCACACTGAACTCCTCACCTGGCTCCGTGTGTTTGAGGACAAAGTTCTCATCATCAAACTTCCGGCCATAGATGGACTTGCCGCCGGTGCCATTGTGGTTGGTGAAGTCACCTCCTTGGCACATGAACTGAGGGATGATGCGATGAAAGCAGCTTCCCTTGAAGCCAAAGCCCTTCTCATGCGTGCACAGACAGCGGAAATTCTCTTCATGGGATTTAAGAAAAGATGCTGCTGTTACTATTTTCCCACGGATATTTTGTTTATTTGACAAAGCCCTACAACATACACACCTGCAGTCATGGGAACGATGTCAGCCCGAAGGAGGAAGCGTAGTCTCCCGGCTGGCTTATTTCCAATCTTAATGTCCATGTAGACCTGAGGATTAACTCGGCCCTTTTTAGCCGGAGGCTCAGCCTGCAAAAACATATCATACTTATGTCACCGACTTAACGTAGCTAGGAGTCAGAGGCAGAGTTTAGAGAGAAAGCCATCTCACCTCCTGTGTTGCAGTGGTGGTTGTTTCTCCGCCCGCTGCCTCCGCATCAGCCTCCTCTGCGGTCTTCCCTGAGAACTTCTTCAGCCAGTCATCGTCCGACCACACTGACGGAGGAGCAGAGTTCAAATCATAAACACAGATTTCAAATCACTTAAACTTACGGCCTCTATAAAAACAGGTTTTCATTACTCACCTGGTCGAGAAGAACCTTCTTTGATTCTCATGGGCTTGGCCGTGTTGACCCGGATAGTCCGTCCAAAAAGCTCAGACTCATTCTAGCAGAGAGAAAGAAAATAAACATTAAAGCAGAAAGCTCATTATGGACCTTTCGGGTAAATTCACAACAGCTAGGTCCCAGAAACAGAAATACAACTTCACCGACGTGAACGTGCAGCAATATGATCCACTTACCATGTTATCAATAGCCGCTGCAGAGTCCTACAGAAGACAACGGTCATAAATAGGTTAAGAGCTCAGATATATTGACCATTAAAGCTCAGCACTGTATTTCAATCACCAACTCTGTTTTACATGGAATCCACCAGTCAGATTACCAAACACCTTTATCTAAAGAAGACAGCAATCCAAGGAAACAATGTATTCAGAATGCCGTACTCAATTCCTATTCACATGCTAGAGAACAGCCATATTAATAGCTGGGGATAGATTTAACATCACAACACAATCTTTCTCTTGTGTTGCTAATATGGTTTAAACTAAGTGAATTTGATGTGTTTTATTACTGTACATTAAAGTAGATTCCACAAGCGAGCAGATGGATGACTCAGATAGCGTTGTAGCTCAGTTCAGGTACATGTTCAACATCTCTCTCAAAAATGGAAAAACATGCATTATTTTTGCATGACTGAACATATTCAGGTTAAAGTAATCTATTTTAAATTCATGGAGATTTCCATACAGAGTATTGTTTTTAATGGGTCAACATCACAATATTGGTGCCACTAGTGTGCACTTCACGTACCTCGCCCAATTCAAACTCAATGAATGCAAATCCTCTGTGCTTTTCTGAAAACGGAACACAAGACACATTATTACAGCCTAATATTCATCTTACCCACAGTGACTTCATGTTCTATAGAAACAGTGGAGCTTCCATCACAGTTAACGGCAACGCTCGTGATCTTACCCGTTTCATAGTCTAATGGTATCTGGATGTCTGTGATGTCTCCAAACGGAATAAAAGCTGCATGCAACACCTTCTCATCCACCTCCTCCGCCAGGCCACCTGACAGAAACACAACGAACCGACACTGAGCTGATGAACAGGAAGTTATTATTCCTAAGAGACAATATGTTTGTATAAATATTCAGGAGAGGGGATAACGGTGCAGGTTTACGTGCGACGTTCAAGAAACAATAAGAACCATTGGAGTCGTGAGGCCACAACTTGCATGTGCTCGTTTCATTGGGTTTATTTATTACACATTTGAGATGACGCACTTCAGTCACGGGGTCGAGGAAACTGTGCGAAGTTTAAAATCAGCGACGTTGCCATGTTTTAAAGTGACGCGAGTTTTCTTCATATTATCTGCACTTTATACACATTTGGTTGTGTCTCATATAATTATTTAATATGTAATGTCCTCAACACGTTAGCTTAGTTTACTGGAACAAAGTCATTTCAACGTATTTTTAAGAAAAGTAACATTAACTTACCGACATACAGCACTCGTTTGTTAGCCGCCATATTGGATGTAACCCTTCAACTTCGACCCCAGCAGCTTGTCATTGGTGCAGCGAGGCTAAAGCCCGCCTCCCTGTGATCAGGGGCCCGCGAGCACCACCTGTTGGATAAAGCTGTCATCGCTCCAATTGCTCCTTTTTACATCTTTTATTTAGATTTGATCATATTAAAGGATCAGCAGGATCACATTTCTGTAGTGGATTTTAAAATAAACGCTGTCTTGTCACACAAACTTAGAGAAGAATGACAAGAGGAATGGATGACTTTCAGAAAAGCGTTCAAAAAGTCTTACTAATATCATATGTTAGAAAACAGAGCTTGAAGATGACACTTTGATCATAAAGGTGATACCTATACAACATTTTCATTTTCATTGTAACATTAAATTGTTCTTATTTACAAAATTGTATGCATCTATCATTCTTAGGGCTTAATATCAAACCATGTAAAAGTGTTTGTTCAGAGCTTGCTTGCCACCCTTTGTTGTGATTTCATGGTAATGAATTATTATTTTGACCATGAGGTTTATATGCAAAACCTTAGTGACAATATATCCAACTGATAATTTGGAGAAAGGAAAAACTTTCCCCTTCTAGTAAAAATAAAATTGTATGTTTTCCTTTCCCTTAAGTTGCTTGTATCAAGCCTCTTTATGAAGAGGGAACACCCTAAATGATACCAATGTAGCCCAGACAAGCATATGATGCTCAGCATAATAAAATGTGCTGGCTTTTGGCCTTCTCTGTGCATTACTGACAGGTAAGTGTGCGTGTCAGATACACACTTTAAACTGAATACAGTGAGTTATATGTAAACATTAAAGTAACACAACAGTGGGAACCTTGATATATCATCCTTTTATTGAGAATACCACACACCCATGATACCATGATAGGATGGAAGAGTCCATCATTTCAAATCAAACATTAAACTTTCAAGCAAAGAAAAAGAAGAAGGCTCATATTTACTTTAGAAGAACGGTTTCTCTCCTTTGCCACAAAATGAAGGACCTTCATTCAACGATTTGCATCATAGCTTTTGGTATGCAGTTTAAAAGTTTTATAGAACTAGAAAATTATGAACTGTGATATTTTATATTATTTTAGTATATTTTTTAAATTATATTTTCCTTTGTTTTTTTCTTCCTTTTTTCTGATTCTTCAGAGGAGTCAGTGTAGTGTGTCTCTCTGCACCTCTGCTCATTTTTCTGTGCCCTGAAACAACACAATGACATTTCATTACTACCACAAAACTTAAATTATGTATGAATAGCTTGACCGATTATGTTTTATCGTACCAATTCAATACAGCAGGCAGTCTTCAGGATGTGGCAGCAGCAACAGTAGTGGCTATGCTGCCCACTTTTTGAGTGGCATCTTTCTTTGCCTGGTGGGCTTGTAGCACTGCGACGGCTTCTTCCACCTTGTAACATAACATCAAACATGAACAATGACACATGTATATGGCTAATAGCGTGACGTTATTGCAAAGACAGAGCTAACCAAGTACCTTTGAGCGCAGAGACTCATGGGATTCCAGCATGTGCAGCAGTTCAGAGTTGTCAATCTCCAGCAGCATGCCGGTGATCTTTCCTGCCAGGTTGGCATGCATGGACTGAATCAGCGGGAAAAGACGCTCACCTATTTGGAAAAATTGAGAATGAATCGACCTAATAAAAACGGATAATCATTACAGTTCCTTTATTACATCATGGGATTCTTACCAAGCATCTGCTTCTGCTCCTGAGGGGGCGCAGCAGCCAGCATGGAGGCCGTGAGAGGCTCCTGGCCCTGAACGTGCACGGCTGGCTGAGCCTAGAAAGGACAAATAAATATCATAGGGAAAAAAAGATTTATTGAGCTGGGTGCTGGATATGATAGGAACAGTAGATGATGTGATTGGTCTCTCGCTCATACCTGCTGTAAGGCAATAGGTTGCACCCCCTGGGGGTTGGGGTTACGGACACCAGTGGCATATTTGTAAGGAGGCATGGCCCGGGGGCCGGGGGCTCCCATGGAGGGACGGGTAGCCATGGCCTGGCCGGAGGCTAGGAGCAGAGACGAAGATTCAGTGGTGTGACAACCTCTTCTGTATATGTAGTGTTAATAACGTCAGAGTCAATCAATTGTTATTGGTGAACGCACCTCGGGGGCCCTGTGTGCCGCCACCACCAGGACTCATGTGTCTCAGGTTGGCACGGGGTCCTGGCTGACGCAGCGAGTTGGGTATCCCTTGGTAACCACCTGGGAGTGACAGAAGTAGAGCCAAAAACAATGAGGCGCAATACAAACCTCAACAGTATTGAAATGTTTTAAATAGCTACATTGCAGTACAATTATGTTAGGTAACTGGAAAAATAATATGAAAGATAGATGCCCTCCATCTAATGCCATGTGCTCACCTTGACCTCTGCCGCCTTGCTGCTGCCAGCGGGGGTTGGGTCGCATTTGGGCCAGCTGATTGGGTGCATAGTATGTAGTCCTATTCTGGGCCTGGTGGGTACAAGTAAGTGAAATTTATGATTTTATGGCATTAATATCATAAGCTACTGTTGCAGTCTATTTTTTTTAATCTGCTGCATTTATATTTAAATAAAAATTAAACAAAAGTATCAAAACTTTGCCTGGTGACCCCTGGCAAATACACTACAAAAACCTGGTATTATTTTAACAAACTTTAAATAGTATGCCAAGTAAGTATGTTAACTTATTTTTAACCTGTATTAACAGGCAAATGTAAGTCCATCATTCCCTTTCCTTGTAGCTCTGTTTTTGTTCTTCACAACCTCCTGTAGGAAATATCTGGCTCTTCAGTCGCTAAAGCTCTACTAGGTTCAGCAGCTATTCGCTAATGTTGCCAGTCTACAGTTTGATGCTGGTATGGTACATATGTTTTTTTGATAAAAACATCTGCCTGCCTGATTACAGCGCCGAGACTGAACCAAAAAAGGGAAGTTGCAAGCATTAAAAACAAAATGAATGACTGAAAAGCTCCGTAGAGAAAAGGGGAACTGTAGAGTCAGCTGATAGTTATCTGATGGCTTGTCAATAGGAGCAGTTATTTTAACACACAGACTTTGATTCTCACACCTGAGGCACAGCTGGCATGAAGTAGCCACTGGCGGGCTGGAACTGGTTGACGACGGCGTTAGCCGGCATGGCCCTCATGCCGGCAATACGCTGCATGTACTGGTTGGTGAGGTGGGCTTTGCGCTCCTCTTTGCGCTGAGCGAGAGCCACGTAGAGGGGTTTGGAGCCAACGATGCGTCCGTTCATCTCAGTCACGGCCTTGGTGGCCTCTTCGGGGGAGGAGAAGCAGACAAAGCCGAAGCCCTTGGAGCGACCCTCCTCTAGCATCACCTAATAGAGAGACAGATTGCGTCTGGTTAATGTCAAACTCACAATATCGTTGTTTTACACAACACCGTTGTTATATTGATATTGCAGAGATGCATAATCACTTCTCTAGTGGCGATGCATTGCAACATCTGTTTGTCACCTTAGCACTTGTTATAGACCCGAACGGAGTGAACTCCTTGCGCAGTTTCTCATCATCTATGGTGTCATCCAGGTTCTTAATGTAAAGATTAACACCCTGAAACCAAAGACGGACAATCATGATTCACTCATAGCAGCTTCTTTGGCAGTGACCGGCTATATTTGAAGATTGATTTGATTCATTGAGCTCTTAATTTCTACAGACCTGATAACGACTGATCCGCTCTTGTTTCAGCAGCTCAAACCTTCTCTTCAGCTCCGCCTGCCGCTCCATCTTCTTCTGAGCCCGGCCCACAAACACAGTCTTGCCGTTGAGGTCGGTGCCATTCATGTCCTCCACAGCCTTTGGACGAGATCATAATTACCTGAGGTAAATACCAATAAAGACTTGGTGCATTTCCATGGGGCCAAAGTACCTTGTTAGCGTCCTCATGATTCTCGTAACTAACGAATCCAAAGCCTCTGGATTTACCGGCCGGGTCAATCATCACCCTCACGCTGAGTGTTTTACCTGCAGAGGTTAAAGGTTAGATGAGTGGATGTAAGAAGGCAGAACTAGACCACATACGTTTGGAGTAATACCCATTCATCTATAGTCCCACTTCACCATATTTGTCAAAAAGCTCCTTCAGCTGGTCATCGTTCATCTCATCTCCAAAGTTCTTAATGTAGACATTGGTAAACTCCTTGGCTTTGGCACCGAGTTCAGCCTCCCGTTCCTTGCGAGATTTGAAACGTCCCACAAACCTGAGGATGGAGGAAGAGCAGCAAAGCACACTCTTGTAAAACATTCCTGACAGAAATGAGAAACAAACTAGGATCCTTTTTCCGATCTAAAAAGACTTGACCGGGAGATGACGACCTGAACACGCAAGCACGATAAGTAAAAGAGAGCATAAGGGACAACATCCACAAAACAAATTCACAGCCATTTCATCATGTCACTCTTCATTCCAGGTTCAAACAATCAAAAAGACATCCAACTGCAGTTAATATCACCAGAGGCAGGCAGAACTGTCGGCATGCTAGACATCACAGTGAGAACCATCTTAATTCTTGGTCCAAAACTTGATGAGGTGGTGGATGGAGAGGGATGGAGGAACAGAGTCTCACAGTACAAAGTAAAGCTGAGGAGGACCAAATTATCTTATATACCTTGCTATGACGACCTCTCCACTTCCGCCATCCAGTATTGCATTCCTGCATTCGATCCATCACTAAAAACACACAAGCGTGGTCATACACACACACACACATACATACAAGCAAACACTCCAAGACGGGTGACCAGCGAGTGGACAAATGAGGTGTAAGAGCTTTTAGTGTGTTATCTATCAGATCAGAGGTTATCTTCATACTGGCGGTAGTGAGAGATGAGTTTATTAGTCAGATTATTCACACACAAACTCACCAACTGAAAAAGGACACCAAAAGTCACTTCACTCAATACATGTAGAACAAACGAGTCAGGTTTATACACAAAAAACATATATAAGCTATTACTGCGCTATTTTCACCATAAGCTCAATAAGTACTGCACCCTCTGCAGCTGGACTTTCAACGTCATCATAACTTTGAAGTACTGTTACAATCAATTTAAAGTTCAAACTAAATTCTTTAATATACTATCGACAATGAACGCCCCTTTGACCCCAGATCCTAGATGGCCGGACACTCACACCTTGCGGTCATTCAGAAGCATGCCATTCATCTTCTCAATGGCACGATCAGCAGCATCCTGGGTCTCAAAGTGGACAAAAGCGTAGCCTTTGGAGCCATTTTCATCGCACACCACCTGGAGTAGAGGAAGACATTTGGGTAAAAGTTCATCCAGAAGAGAGGCATCATGACGGTCGCAGGCAGTTGTTTAACTTTAAAGCAATAATTCAAGATTTTGGGAAACATGCTTGTTCGGTGACATGAGAAGATCAATACCACTCAAATCTCTCCACTATATTTGAAGCTGCAGCCAGTTAGCCTAGCTTAGCATAAAGACCATAAACGGTGGGAAACAGCAAGCTTGGCTCTGTACAAATAAACATGTTTAATTGTGTTTGTTTAATCCATATAAAAAACAAAGTTTTAAAAGGGTTACTTGCCAGTTTTACACTTCAGTTTTGAAGTTCATTAGTGAGCTTTAGAGTAGGAGTATTTTGTCACCTTTGTGTACAGCCAGCCTAGCTGTTTCCCCAGTGTCCCGTCCAAGCTAAGCTAACCAGCTGCAGCTTCATATTCAAACTGTCAGAGTGGTATCGTTCTTCTAAGCTAACTTTCTGCAAGAAAGCAAATACATGTGTTTCCCAAAATGTAGACGCATTGCTAGAGAGATGGTGTATGAGTTTACATGAGAATAAGAATATTATTCAAACTTAGTCTAATTTAAGCACAAATTGTGAGAAATCGGTGAGGAACAGTTTTCCACAAATGTGGGAATATATACAGCATAAAAAGAAACTGCCCTTTCTTTTATGCACCTCAGTCACATTTATGCCAGTTATACCTTGCAGGAGAGGATGTTGCCAAAGGCAGAGAAGGTGTCGTACAGGGCTTTGTTGTCAATGGACTTGTCAAGGTTCTTGATGAACACGTTGCCCACTCCAGACTTCCTGAGGGAAGGGTCTCTTTGGGACCACATGATTCTGATTGGCTTCCCTTTCACCACGTCAAAGTTCATGGTGTCCAGGGCTCTCTCAGCTGGAGGGAGGGGGGACAGAGAGAGGGAAAGGTCATGGCTGGTCGTTTGTATGGAGCCATGAGTCTGAAAACATATCAGTCACTTGTATACCACATAACATGCTTCCATCTATCATGGACACGAATCAGGCATTGTGGTGCTGCAGAAGTCCCTTTAAACCACAAACACAGCATTGCCTAAATAACATCCCCAGAGAAATAACATGAATCTATATGGTGATTATGTATATGTGTATTAGTCTTAGTCCTATTGTCGTCCTGTGCAGTGTGAGCTAAAATGGAGAATCCCTGGTGCCAGCCCATTAACAAGGCCCATGTAATATGGTTAAGATACTACAGTAGACCATGTGGCAGATGAGCAGCTGGGAGAAATGTGAGGGACAGCTGCAGTGGGCAAGCTGAGAGCACATGTCCCCCTTCTCTAACTTGCCACATGCTGCTGGGCCACGTCCCACCTAGGCCAGTGGCAGTAGCAGTGCAGAGGGCCCTCAGATAACAAAATGGGCTTAAAATGTGGTATTAAGCTGCGATATCTTTCATTTGATCAAATCATTATGTCTTATTTGAACCAAATGTAATCACCAAGGTTCATTGTATACTATTTCTCTCAGCAATGCTCCAACTCTCATATAGGCTCTCATGTGGGCACACATGCCAAAACATCCTTTTGTTCAGTCACTCCACAGTAACAGACACACACAGGCCAGGCTTTCCAGCTAAAAGTGTCTGGTAAACAAAACGGAGCTGCCTTGCGTCTGCTGGCATCAGCAGTTTGGCTTGCAATTGTACTTTACAGCTCGTGTGCTCAGAGAAGGTGTGTGACCGCTGTCAAACATGTGGTCTTCTGGAAGGTTCAGAGTGGACATCGTAGTTTCAAAAAGGCCAAAGTGATCTATGTAATGCATGACCAATGTCTTAAGTGAAGCCATTCGGTAAAATGTTGATGGCGTTGAATTACTCGTCGTTATTAACCATTTCTGTCATGTTAAGAGCTTAAAAGCATTACGGCCAGGCAGATTTTGGGCCGCTCAGAAAGATGTTCTATATTTAGAGAGGGGTCCTGGGAGGTATGTGCTGGCATGGAGTGTGAGTAGAGCAATCTCTACCATTGATGGGGAAGAGACACTCAACAAGAATGTTCAGATGAGCAACACTAGGTCTTGTGAGTGATTACACATACAGCCGAGACATGAAGAAATCCAACGGAGGTTTGCAAACAACCTGGATTGCCGTTTAACTCTGCATTACATCAGATGTACTGACCAGTTATAATTACTAGTAGCAAGCTATCGCCCCACAGGCACATAAGGCTCCATTTAAATCCCCAAACCCCCCCCCCCCCATGTCTACACTTCCAATGACATATCTTCTCACTTGTGGCCCTCCTTGCATTAATTCAAGTGAGTGACACCTACTCCCTTGGTTTGAGCCAGTTGTAACCTGCCTTTACTCCAGCTTTCGGTGACCAACTCACACAGAGACAAATTGTCACAGGTGCTTGACGTTGACATAAGAGGCAAAGAAGTCCACGCAATGTAAACAGTATCGGGGCCTCCAAAGCCAACCACAACACCTGCTACTATTGCTCAATGCTTTGATGGCATTCCAGTGGATTAACAACCGACACATTTTAGGTGGTTAAGATGTTACAGGTAAACCAACCGTGTGACTCAGATAATTCCTAACAAGTTAAAAAGAGTGAAGCTGGGATTAAACCCAGACATAGGATCAAGTCTTTGATATTAATGCAGACAATACACAAGACATAATAAAGCTGTCAGTGCAGGGGGTTATTGTTCAGCTGTGCTTGTCCCTTCTATTGCGGTCAGTGAGTGCACTGGGAATTAGTTTTATTCCATGGCCCTTTAAATAGGAGAAATGTCATTTCGGGAATAAGTGAGGTCTGCAAAGACTTTATTTCCAAATGATGGGCATGAGAGGAGTGTTCAATATGCATGTGTGTGAGGGCTTTGACTCTAGCAGTGACATGCAGTTATAGCAGGCGTGAGGAGTATATAACAACTGGGGCATGCTTATATGGGTCAAAATGAGTCCAACTGGGGAACCGCTCGTCTTACTTTGACTGTATAAATATCTTTTAGTTCAGTTAAAGTCCTGTGCTTTTTATTCATCGCCAGTGTGTCCCGGATTTTGCATTTGGTTACGCAGACCGTTTCACGCCTGACATTGAAAGCATACGGTGACATTGTCGATATGTGAAGGATGCACGCTTTCTGCGCCTTACATCCCCGCATGCTGCAAGCAGCCAATATGCTCAAACTGCACGGTGATCACTTGCCAGGTTTCTTTTCTTACCGTCAGCGGGTTGAGAGAAGTTCACATAAGCGTATCCGAGGGATCGCCGGGTGATCATGTCACGGCATACCCGAATGGAGAGCACCGGTCCAGCTGGGCTGAATTTCTCATACAGCATAGCCTCCGTGATATCGGGGTGCAGGTCGCCAACGTAGAGGGAAGCCATCGGATAACTCCCGGTTTCTGTGTTCATATCTCGGGGTTCACAATAGAAATGAGTTCCAGGCTTCGCTCAAAAAACGCCAGAAAAAAAAAAAAGCCGGTATTAGCTGTATTCAGAGTCCGAAACTGCGCTTCAATTCTCCCAACTAATGAGACAGCAGGCTCTGTGGTCCAGCTTAATGAGAAAAAGGTCAAACCTGAAAAATCACGATATAAATGATCTTTTCTGAAGTAACTCTTCCTTTGGTAAACGCCAACTTCGGGTAAAGCCCGAGACCTCCCGTTTCTAGTATTTTTTTTTTTTATTAATATTTTGCTTTTTTTTTTTTTAAGTAAACGTTTATTTTTCTTTGAGTAAATGTTTTTTTATTAAGATTTTGTTGCTTTTATATTTTTTATATTATTTTAAGTTTTTTTCAAGAACGGTGAGTTAGACACCCACAGTTGTTTTGTGGCCAGGGAAAGAGACTGCGTTGGGAAACTCGTGGGCACTTTATAGAGAGTGGCAGTGCGGAGGAAATAGTGACCAGGGTCACACATGGGTTAGAAAAAAAAAAAAAAAAAAAATAAAAAAAAAAATAAAAAAAAAAAAAAAAAAAAAAAAAGCACCACTGAGCATGCGTTGTAAAAGGGAGAGCGCGCACTGTAGCGTCCTAACTGCAGAGCCCAGCGCTCCACAGCGACATCTGGGTGGAAATACAAAAGGCTCTCAAACACACGCCCTGCTCTTTTTTTTTTTTTAAAGATATTAAAAAGACAAATTGGAAATATATGCCGTCCTTTTTTTCTTAATACATGCATTTATTTGTTACATTACAGAATATTCTTATTAAGATGCAGTTATTCTGCTTTGTCCATCCCCCTGAGGATAAGAGATGGAGACATACAAATTAGTCAAAGCCACAAGCATAGAACATACCGACATTACACAATTAGTTACCTCAAAAAATCCAGGAAAGTTGAGTGCAGCCCTCTCCTTCTGGGCTCCCGTTCTCTTTGAATCCCATCCAGCCAAAGTCTTCTGATCACACCTTTACCCTCTTGTTGTCCCAGGGCTTCTTCCTCATAACTCAGCGTCTCTGATCCATCTGGGCCTTTGGAGAACTGGATTTTGGAGCGAACTATTGGTTGGGCATCATTTGTTTCTTCTTGGGGCAACACTGCCAGCTTCCCTCTCATTTTGTTACAATCCTTCTGGTTTAGGACATTTGCATTCATGAGAGTCGTCAGCGGGATGTCCACATCTTGTTGAATGTCAGACATACCAGATCTTCCGAAACGCCTTTTTCTTTGAGATTCCTCTGCAAAAGCTGCCTTTTCAATTTGTTGAGGAATTGCCCATCCATCAATCAGTGTAAGCGAATTCAAATCCCACATATGACCGTCACTTCCTAGTTCATTTGAACTTTGATGTATGACTAAGTTTGTGGGCGTATGCAGAAGAGGCTCCTGATCTGCAGTTGAAGGTTGAAGCTCATTTGACATGGTGTCACTTGTCTGCAAATTGTCTTCGGACTCAGAACAGATCTTCTCGCCGTATTCAGTATCTTGCACCTGTCCAGGTAGCCAAAGGGTCAGTCTGGCAACTGGGTCCGGACTCACAACAACCACACCCTGAGGGGGTTGTAATTCAGAGTGATCAGAAATAATTGTGTCCTCAGTCATTGCACGATCAGACGCCATGCGGTCTGCAACAGGAGCACTGGAGGTTTCCTGCGGTTCAGAGAGAAGCGTCGCAATAGGTTTGTCCATAATGATGATGGGGCCAGTGCTGACGATAGCCTTGGCACCTGAAACGACACGCTAGGTCAGTCACTGTTGACTAAGAGACCAGAAACAGACCAAGTCCATTTAGTGTTGCACCTTTTGACCAAAAACAAAGCACTGACCTTCAGGAAGGTTCTTGACCGACAGACCTTTACACTTTGACGTACAGCACTTGCACACTTCTGCATTTCCACTAAGGTCCTCCCATCTGAAAGAGGGGAAGAAAAAAATGAATCTCATTTAGTCATGAAAAGGTCACAAAATACATGTGATGCATGTAGAAATACCTTGACTGGATCATGTTGTAGTTGCAGGATTTAGAACCAAAGTTGATACCCTGGTCTAAGATAACGACACTACAGTGGATGTACAGCTTCAGAAGAGAGAGCAATCACAAGGTCATACAGTTAACACAGAAGAAACATGTCAGAAGAAGAAGGGAAAAGAAAAAAAAAAAAAAAAAAAAAAAAAAAAAAAAAAAAAAAAAAAAAAAATCAAAATTCACCTCAGAAATGAGATACGATGTGTCGAGAACAAGATTAACCACATCCGCTCTGTCGGAGGCCACAAATAGTGCAACGGCATGACGGGAACCCAATCCAGCTGTGCACCTGGCAGAGAGCAAAGGCATCACAGGTAATTAGCTCACGGACCAACGTCACAAACAATTCAGCTGACTGGCTGCTTACCCTTTATTCATTATGACTGCGTGCCTACGCCTAGTCTGAGGCTCAGGAGACGCAGAGACAAAACAGGACTGGATGAAAAGCTGCTGCTCTGGCCTGGTTTTGGCAGAAACCTGGAGGTTGACAACCTGTCCTCTTTTGTAGATATTAGAGTCTGCAGTGCTGGTCCAGGATGCTGCAGGAACAACAAAACATTCAGTCGAACATTCGTGACTACAAATGAAACAAGTCAACCTAAAAAAACGCATGCTCATAAAATCATATTACTCACGGTTCATGGCTTGAATGTTAAAGGTCTCGCCATTCTCAGGAAATGCCGTTGAGTCAAAGAAGTTTGGATATGGCCTGAAAAGACATGCATTCCCCTTCAGTATAGTTGTCTGTGGGCACTTACAAGTGATATGGTAACTCAGTGAATGCACCTTTTTGGGATGCAAGAGATGTGCACCGTGGGACGAGTTTCCAACCAGGTGGTGGGCGGCATTTTGAGATTCAAGTAGAGAGAGTTGGTAAACATCACCAAACCATTCTGCATCTGTAAGAGAGCGTCAAGACTGCTTTACAAAGCTGTGAAAATAAAAGTAACTATAGTAAAGAAAGTGGTCAACTCACCACTGGTGTAGTGCCACACTCATCGAAACCGTAAGTGAAGACAAATTGGTTCGGTAGCTCTCTGTTGCTAAAGCAGCCATCACCGAACTGCATCTCCTCTCCAGTCAGTGAGAGACCGTTGGAGCTCTTGTCAACCAGCAGAGTTAGCTTTGATTCATCACAAAACACTTCAACTCTGGGAACAATGGGGATGGGAGGTAATTCAGCAAGCACCTGCAAGTCAGGGATCAAAGTCCCCCACGAGCTGAAGAGGGCGTCAGGTGGGGTGAAATCAAAATTTCTTTCAAAGGGAAAAGGCACGAAGCTGTGAAAAAATCCAGGAACATCGTGGAAAAATGTGGCATCCTGCTTTTTTATTACTGACTGAGCAGCAATATGGTGTCCCAAAAGAAGGCACAGTAACAGCTCCATCGTCCCCATTGCAAAATTCAAAGTAGGCCAATCACTCGGATCACCCTCCTAGCCCAGGTGTGTCATTAATAAGGTGCAGCAGCAGGGGGGGACAGGTGCTGGCAATCCAGCTAACAAGGCTGCCAGCCAAGTATGCTGCTTTCGCAATGCTTTTTAAAAATCCTATTTGTGTGATTAAATGTGAGGCGGGAAACATTTACAAGCTGTTATTAAGAAAAACTAAAAATATGGAAAATGTGTATTTTGTTCATGTTATTGCTGACTGCAAATATTACAGATAACCAGGGTCTTTGTTGAGCCCTGACCGATAAGATCAATTGTATTAAATAGTCTAGTCTTCCCCATCTTAGCAGCAGTATTTACTTGAAGAAGAAAAAACTCCAATTTAGCATCTTTGGTATGACTTTCTGACATTTTATGGTCGTGTGCTGATACAATAATCCCATAGAATAAAATTGAGCACATAATACATTTCTTTTTTTATATAATTCTATGCATGTGTGGACCAGGTCACATTTACACATTCCGTGGACTCAAAGAACTAGATGATCAAGCTTAACTCTACGGACACGTAGCACAGTGGTGGAAGAAGTACTGAATTTGTTTACAATAAAAGTAGCAATACCACAGTGTAAAGATACTCTGTTACAAGTCCCGCATTCAAAAATGTAAGTAAAAGTACAAAAGTATTAACATCAAAATACATTTAAAGTGCCTAAATTAAAAGTAGGCTAATCATAGAATGGCTCAGTTCAGAATACATTACTAGATTGTAAATAGTGTAGCATTAATGTGAATATCAGGTTAATGTTGCCCCTAGTAAAGTTGGAGCTGGTTTGAATTACTGTTTGTACTTCTGGGTAGCCTAATAGTAACAATAGTAATCCTTATAATAGAGGCCTTATCTTATGATTTTAAAAATGTCCTTTCAAGAATGGACAGAGTTGCATGTGTTTTTTAATCAGATAACTTTTCCCCTCTCCTTGGAGAGTGAACGTGCTTCGGGGCGGAGCCTCCGCACAGGTAGGCGGAAGTTAGCGCAAGTGTGTGTGCAGGTGAGCGGCAGTGGAAGAAAACAACGACGGACCAAAAACGTATTGTCACAACAGCTGTCAGACATGACTTCTATACAACTTGTACACTAATATGATCCAAGGTTGACATGAAATCCACCATGGGGAATTTAGGTAAGTTGACTCTCACCTGTGTTTCACTGAAGTGACAGAATATGTGTTGCGTGCGAAAGTTTCTTTAGGCGTGGTCTGCGCGGTCCTTACCTGAGACCTAGTGAACAAAGGTTTGTTTCTGGTGTTTAGATGACCGAACGCAATGTGAGATCTTATTTTTTCTGTTCATTTCAATCAATGAAAACATCTTAAACTAATTGAGTCAATGAGGCTCACATGTAGTGTTGTGGGGGGAGTTTCACCTAAATAAAAGTGAAACTTTGTGGGCAACCATTGCGTAGGCTTGCTTAGAATTCCTAATTGCGGGCTGTTGTTGTAGTAGTATAGCATGAGTCCCACTGTGTACTTCCTATCGTTGCTCTAGAACCTAAATAAAGTGTCCGACATGAAGCAGGATAGTAGTGTAATTATCGGAGAATATAATATATTGGAATGAAGGATACATTAGGTTTGATACAGTCACTGAAGGTTTAAATTCTATCAATGTTTCTGTTAAGGTATGTACATTACAGTAACAATATGTGCACTTGAACGGCAGCAAACATTAGACTAACAATATTATGACCAAAACACAGTGACTTTTTTTCTACAGCACCCAGCATACGGTTTGAATGAGACAGACCAGTAGCAGATATGAGTTTCTTCCCTGACCCGTCAGGCCAGTTCAATGTGGTGGGTGTGGATGTTTAAAATACCCAACCCGTAGCTTTGTCCTGTGTGGTTCAGGAGCGGGTTATGGGTGAGTGCTGCTTCACCTTTCCTCAGAGGAAGGGGAAAAAAAGACCCGGTCTCTGAATTTGTCGCCATAGCTGCAGCATTTTGCAGCATTGCAGGGGGTGAGATCTTCAGCCATCTCTGCAGGGGTTGGGGATGATTGGAAGTGTTGTCATGGTGTACTAACCGCTGGCCCGCTTCTTTTTTTTCTTTTTTTTTTGGCTCTGCTGAAACCACAAGCTCGCACACAAGCTCTCAATGTACTGCAGTTACAGCTCGTTCTATATTTCACATCACAGTGAATAAACTGATTTTGTTTTGTATACTGTGTTCCTGTCAACAACACAGCTGGTATTTATATACTCTAATATTTGATTGCAGTCAAATGCTTCAGTGTGATCATATGCACTGTCGTACACTTGTTTTGAATAAGTTGTGTATCTTGTTGGCAGAAGTCCCAATGCTCACAACTAAATTCAGATTATGAAGTTGAAATAATTTCTGCTTCCTCTAGGGGTATGCTGTTCCAACCTCAAGGACAACAAAGCCCTGATGAAGATGGGGCTGGGGCTGGTGCTGGTGGGCCATGTTAACTTCCTTCTTGGAGCGCTGGTGCACGGCGCTGTGCTCAGGCACATCAATGTGCACTCTCTGGCCCGGACCATGGTGTACGCCATCTCTAATGTCATTGCTATTGTAGCAGGCCTGGTGGTAAGTGGTGTGAAAAACACACTGTGTGCAAGAAGAACTTAAAAGCAAATTGATATCTAATAGCGGGTATTGGTTTAAAATAGTTATTTTAGTAATATTGTATCATCTGTATCTGTGATGAATGATCTGTCTGTTTCTTTTTGCTGGACTTCTTGTGCCCGTTAGGGAATTATTGGTGGAATAACTGCCATCGTCCTGTCCAAAAACAAGAGGAACAGGATCCTGGTAAATACTGCTCCCCCTCTCTTTGGCACAGCTTCTCCCTCCATTTAGCACTCACATCTGTCATTTGCTGTCTCTTGTTAGAACCTGCCCTCTGCTTTTGAGTGTGTATACCTATTTGGATACATGCAGATATGAAATTCATTCAAATATTGGATGCCCGTCCTCAGATTGTGGACTGGCTGGGATTTCTACTCCATGTTCCTAGAGCTTCCCTTTTACATCTACTTGACATTGAAAAAAGCATGTTATTTGTTGTTTTACACACTAGATCCAGTGTGTAACTAACGTACTCATGTTGTGTCGTCTTTGCAGCAGTGGGTCCTTCTGGTCTTCAGCTTCCTGGCAGGTCTCTTGTCGGTCGCCTCCACCCTGGGCTTGTCAGTATCAATGGTGAAAGCCATCATTAACAAAGGACGGGGCCTGCTAACACACTGCACGTTTTCTGGCGAGGATCACAGCTCTTCCAGCATCACGTACGAATGCCCCTTCGACCCCACCCGGATCTATGTAAGTTGAATATAAATATTTGTCCATCAGCAGTTTTTATATTGACTTGAATTGCTGCAAAAAAAAAAGAGAAGTGTTTATTGATCAGAGACCTGTGCCGTCATCCTTTTTTTTTTTTTTTTTTGTCAACCAGGGCACCACAATCATTCTGTGGGTGCCTCTCATCTTGATATCGCTGGTGGAAATGGTGTTTTCCTTCCGCTGCTTTGCTGCCTGTACGTCATTCCTCTACCTCTGTCCGTGCAGGAGGCGGCCGACCCGGGGCAGGAGAGTAAGTTGCTGTCAGATCACCGACTCTGTTGACAGTGCTAGAAAGACCAGAGACCTCCATTATTTGTCACAGGCAGATGTTACATCATCTCAATGGGGTAGGGATGTGAAACATTCAGTTGAAACCGTGAATTTTAAAAACATTCAAAACACAACTGAAAAATCCATACAGTGCAAGGGACAAATACTGTATTGTAAACTTGATTTACTAAAGGAGAAGTGCATATATTTACAAAAGATATCAGCACTTTCCTGCCTGACTGACATTTTTATTCTGCATACTGTACTGTTTGGGGTTACACCTGAATGTCTTTGAAACAAGAAACAAAATAGCCTATTATACTATTAAGTAACGCTTACATTCATTTATTGCATCATACCAACTATTTTTACAAGGCTTAGTTAAAAAAAAACATTTAATCAAGTCACAGTTCCAACAGTAAACTGGCATGTCTTCATTATACCCACAAATGGCACTGTGACTGTCATTTAATTGAATACAAATGGAAGCCAGTGGTCCAGACCTGCTGACAAGGCAAACCTAAGCAGAGTAGCATGGGAACCGTGTCCCTCAGCGCATGATCACATGGTTTGATCTGTGGTTGAGGGTTGGCTTGAAGTTAACTGGAAAAAAGCACACATCAGTACTCAGTTGATGTTATCATTGTATTTATCAACCCCTGAACCTCACTAATGCATATAGAAAATAAAATGTACTCATGCACTAATGGTTATGTTCTAAGACCATTGTAATAACATTATATAAATTAACTTTACTTTTCGGTCTGAGAAACACTTCACAATGTTGTCTGGACTGATGTTTGACCAGCCCTATAAACTGGTTGCTTTGTGGTCAGATATTTAACCTTAAACATGTTGAATCAATCAGTGTAAAATACGAAAATTGCAAACGGTGACTGTATTCAAGAAGTCGTTTCATTCTTGTCGAATGTGACTTTCTTGTTACCTTTTCTGATACTATTGATTTATGCGAGGTAGCTTCTCTTAAATGGAATTCATGTTAGTTTCAGGCGCATGGCCAGGGAGCTGTTGAAACGCCGCCATCGCCTCCAGAACGAGATCCAGAGAGCGATGCTGGAACTGAGCCTGCAGAGCAGGATGAACTGCTGGACGACACTGCAGTGGAGCAGAGTGCATGGCTCTGAAGCAGCTAAACCTAATGATAGGTTGCAAACTGCTTGTCCTGACTGGATGACATGAAACATCTGAAGGTTTTGTATTGAGCGTGTCTGTTACAGATTATATGTCTGAAGAAGAAAGACATTTGTTCGACTTGAAGTCAGCAATGGCATTTTATTTCTCTGATAAAATACTGCCGTTGGTTTGGTTTTAAAATATGAGATATTGTTTGTATGTATTGGGGTATTGTCTTGAAAATAAATAGAGCACTGTCACCTGTATCTTGAATTTGAAAGACATTAAATGTAGCAGAGTCAATCATTTTATCAGACGTAACACTTTATAAACAATCTTATTTCGAAAAATGTTAAAACAAAACTACGTAACTTTTCAGGGCAGTTTTTATTGGTGTAAAAAAGTGTTCAATGCACACTGGGGTCTGTCAGATTTAAATGACACTTTTCAGAATACAAATATATACAACAAATTAATTCTGTACTCTGGATATTTAAGTCCAAATTTAAGTGGAATCTAAGCCTGACACCAGCAATTAATGTGACAGGACCCAAACAATTTCTATATTTTGTGGCAGGAGTCCGAAAAAGATGAAGACGTCAATGTTTAAAAGGACACATACTAAATTACGACCTAAAATATAGAACTGTAATTTCACTTGCCTTGTGCCATGTAAAAAAAGCTATTCAGGTATACACAACCCTCTTAACCCCTCTTGGTGACCTTAGCAGAGACACAAATGTATTACAGAAAAGGATCTATTGTATAAACATGCTTCAACTGCATTTTTTTAAAGACACATGACACAAGTGGGACTGTAAGACATAACAGAGTAGCCAAAAATATCTATGATTTAAATAAATTAAATCCATCAGATATAAAAGCATACATGTACTAAGCCATTTTTACAGAGTTACATCACAAGGGAAAAGCAAAAGTCATAGAATAAAAAGATTAATAAAAAATGAAAAAGCATACAAAAAACAATACTCAGTTTGACCTCAGTCCATAAACGGGTACGGTTGAAAAGGTGTCCTAGAAAACATTTGGATCCCCCATCCCATTCTGAGGGGGGTGGGGTCTCATTACAAAGATATAGTTCTTCACGTACTTCGACAGCAGCAGCCTGGAAAGATGTTTTATTCAAAACAATCTCGCTTTAAGATGCGTTCTGATCCGTTGCCTTGGCATCAATGGCTGCTGAGGACCTCAGGGTGTCTTGGACTCCTCTTTTGGCCTAAAAGGACCCAGAGAAAGGACACGATCAACATACCCAGTAAGCCATGAACAACATGGTCAATGAGTGTGTGCACTGCTTTCTCACTTTGAGGTGTCCATCTTCTCCTCCTCTGGCACCTTCTCTTCTTCTTTTACTTCTATAAAAGAAAAACAAATTCATAGTAGTAATAATATTATAGGATGATCTGACTTAAAATGTTAACTCATAGGATGTACATAACTCTTTAAATAACAAAATGAGATGAAGAGGGGAGAGTGAAAATGTAAGAAAAAAAAAAAAAAATGGATAGATACCTTTTGTTTCCTCTTCACCTTTCTTCTCCTTTTCTTCTCCCTCTTTCTCGCCTTCGGTTTTGGCTCGCTTGGCTTTCTTGAAGCTGGTTGCGTTTCTGCGGCCTCCTTCGCCTTCATCCTCTGAGTCGGAGAACTCCTCCTCACAGGCTATCCTCTTGTCATGAGCACGGACTGAACATTGACAGCGGGGAAGGGTCGAATCAGAACATGGAACGCTACCGTTTCAACTGGTTAACTGCTAGATTCATTGTTATTGAAACTTTAGGACTATGCGAGAGGTTCTTACTGGAGATGCGTTTGTTGGGGTCCTCCTCCTCCTCATCACCACTGTCCTCCTGCACAGCGTCCTCGGGGATGGCCTGCATTTGGACTCCCGGGGCGTGGGGCAGCATGCGCAAGTTCTCAAACAAGCGCTGCCTAGAGGACAGAAAGCAGGTTCAACGCACAGACCACTAAACAACCCGAGACGCAAACCGTTACCTATGATGTAGCCACGTTCTCAACTTTTCTTTTTCACAACTCAAGTTTAAAAAAAACAATTGCCATTCATAACCGAATGGCAGTTTGATGCACTCACTTGATCTTCTCCAGGTAGTCATTGGTGTTCTGATTGGTCATGTTGGAGGGGCTGATGTGCAGCTTGAAGTCTGGTCCGAAGTACTCAAAGTAGTCGTTGTATGGGAGCTCTGTCAAGTTGAGTCAAGTTAATAAATATGAAGTTATTTTACCGTTTGTATGAGGCTACTAAAAAATGTTCAAGACTATTTTCACCTGCAGGGCAACTAATGCTACTTAAATATTTTGTGGTTTAATGATCAATGGATCTGGTAACTGACTAATAATGAATGAATAATTCATCAATACTTAATTATCTCCAATACACTGTATAATGTTTGTTTACTCAGACGGTGCTTGATCACGACCACAGAGAAATTGTTTCTCACAATAAAAACCAGACAAACTGATCTCAGTGCAGCATGGGCATAAAAGACTCACCGTTGGGGATGGAGGTATCAAGGGCCACAGCAGTCTCATATGTCCAGCAGCGTGCCACATTACGGATGGTGTAGCCTCCTCCGCCCAGCATTAGCAGTGGCAGGTTGAAACTCTTCATGTACTCCACACACTTGGCATGGCCTGAGCACAGCATGGGAAGATAATGTTTAGTTTCTCAGTTAAATCAAGATCCAGATAGCTGCAGACCACTTTGCTTTAAGTGTCATCAGGAGAGAGATGTTTCAAATAACCTTTAATGGTGAGGTTAAAGCAGCCGAGCCTGTCTCCTGACAGAGAATCGGCTCCACACTGCAGAACCACTGCACTGGGCTGGTACATCTCCATCACCTTGGCCATGATCTACACAAACAATAACATCCGCTCTCTCAAATTGCTGCTGTCCACCAACTATTAAAACACCTCAATCAACAAGTCTTTGGTTACTTACGGGTTTGAATATGGCTTCATACGACTCATCGTCAATCCCATCCCTCAGTGGGTAATTCACAGCGTAGTATTTACCCTTACCGGCACCAATGTCCTGCAGAGAACCAAGGCAAATGTCAACTCACCGTATGACTATGATGACAACATGAATGGTCTGTTAAATTATGTCCAGGCTCACCCTCAGGTCGCCCGTGCCGGGGAAGTACTCCCCATACTTGTGGAAGGACACAGTCATGACACGGTCTGTGGTGTAGAAGGCCTCCTCCACACCGTCTCCATGATGGATGTCAATATCTATGTACAGAACTCTCTGGTGGTATCTGGAAAGACGGAAAAAGGTTCACTTGAGTCCTAAAACTTTTGATCTAGCCTATGAGAAAAACTTTTTGCCGCCTTTGGAAGTATTCAAAATTATATATTTAACATTGTCTGAAAACAAATGTGCCCGTTTAGCAGAACGACTGGACCATAAACTCATCATCAGTTCCCAAAACAGATATTTTGATCACCCACTTGTGCAAAACAAAGCTGTACTTGAGTGGCTATGATAGGGGCTTTTGTACTCACTTCAGTAACTCCAGAATAGCGAGTACGATGTCATTGACGTAGCAAAACCCTGAGGCCTCAGACTTCTTGGCGTGATGCAGGCCTCCGGCCCAGTTGATAGCGATGTCTGTCTGCTGCTTGTTCAACTTCACCGCACCGGCTGGAACACAGAGAAGAATTAGCAGCCTGCTCGTGCTGAATTGACCAGATTACTGGGGCAGCATGTCACCGTTTGAGCAGTATTTAAAAAGAGACGTACCAACGGAGCCCCCTCCTGAGAGCTGGCAGAACTCAAATAAACCATCAAACACGGGACAGTCCTCTCCCACATTAACTGCAGAAGCAGACAAACAGTTTAATGAACACGAAAACGACTTTCTACGAAAGCAAACTCCACCTCCGACCAAACTTACATCTCTGCATTTGTTTGCTGTACTCCGACATGTTGTCCGGTCGAATTGAACGCAGGAACTTGATGTAGTCGTCGCTGTGATACTTGGTCATCTCTTCTCCGCTGGCTTTGTGTGGACGCTGAAACACAAGAGGACAAGTCAGTTCCTGGGGCACAAAGAGACGAGCCAGTGAGGTCCAGAAATGTGACTGAGAAGCGCCGTTACTGTAATACAACATACGTATATCTCCATCTTTCTGTAGAGGCCATAGTTGAGCAACAGGTTGTGTGTCATGCGGATTCGGTGGGGCTTCATGGGGTGCCCCTGGCCATAGTAATAATTTCCAACATCACCTAGGGAAAAAACAAAAACACACCACGCTGAATTATTTGTTTATTTCACATGCAAAAGTTGAACAAATGTATACGTGAAGTAGACGGTTAACACTGAACATGATAACTTCCTGTTCAGACCCTGAATGGGTCGTGATGGTCTATAATACCATCATGCACGTCGGTAAAGATCCTAACTCTAAAACACGAGAGTCAAATTGCTTCCACGAAACTACACAAAGTGCCCAGCTACACTTTCACGGTGGCGCTTTGTTGCAAGCATCGATTAATGTCGACTAAAACATTAATCCTGCGACGAACTCCCTCGCATTTTGAAGGCAGCGAGATGAGCCATTTTAATGCGAGCTTGGCGTTAGCGTTAATTGCGGCGACAATGAAGTACTGATATCCCCCATTGTTAGCTCTTTAGCTAGTGACCTTAACTAATCCAGCTCAAAAACTACCATCCGGTATGTAAACGGATTGGGAATACATTTCGAGGGAAACCCGAGCAAATACTACCGGGGCATTAATACTCCGTGTGGGTTTAGCGACGCTGGTAGACGGAGATGATGAAAGCCGCCTGCTACTCAAGCTAGCTCGGTTAGCTAACGTGCCTGGTTAGCGAGAGGTGGAATAAACGGCAACCTTTGTTGGCGCGAAGTGGTGCATTTCAATCATCCGCGCGGCCGCTTGCTACAGTTTAAGCACACGAGTACTCACCATCATAGTAGTAGCAAACTTTTTTCTTTGTTCCTTGGGAAGTAAGCGCCATTTTAGTGCTTTTTGGCTGGCTTTCACCGCACACACTGCAAGAGACAACAGCGACGAGAGGCGGATAGTTTGTATCACGTCCAATCAATGGGAGGTAATGTCAGCTGCTTTCAACAGGGGGCGACAGAGTGCTCCCCTCTCTGTGTGCGGTTACTCGTGTTGAAGTTCTTTGACTCTATTTAACAGTTTGCACTACCTGCTCAGCAGTGGTGGGCTTCTGGAAAAAATACTTTCCAAACCCCCTTCTCCTTATTAAAAGTAGCAGTGCCACAATGTAAAAACTCCATTACAAGTGCAGAAGTAGTAAAATTTACTTAAAGTAGTGCCGTTTCTCATTATGCAGCAGAATGTCTCCTGTAGTATTACATTCATTTTTGTAATATTTTCAGATTATTATAACTGATGGATGCAGCTGGTCCAGGAGGAGCTATTATTTTTTAGCCTACTTTATATATGCCTTCTTGTGTTTGTTTAATCTATACAGCAATGCGTCTTATCTGATAAGTTTGTATCTCAAAAGTATAAGGTGGAATGGAGAAGTAAAAATATGGCAGTACTGATGAACAGAACATGTACATGAGGAAAATGTTGCCATCAGCACACAGGATCAAAACTGTCCAGAATTCAGTATGATTGAATTTAATACATTTACATAACAAATCATCTGAGCATTTTTGTATGTTATGAAACATATCAGCAACATTTATCAAACTGCAGAGTTAAAACACAGATGAAGCACTTTGACGGTATTTACATCTTAATAATGAGCACCGGCAGAGCAGCTACTTATTCAACGACACCAGGCAGTTCGGGCTGCATGGTGATCGCTCTCCTTTCTCTTCTTGGCTCTGCAGTAATCCAGTGTTACAGGAGTTTCCAAGGTTCACAGTTCCCCATGAGATTGTATCTAAAAGGCCACTTCAAAATAAGTTTGGTGCAGAAACAAAGTAATCTTATTTGGAATCTCAGTTTCTACCATATCAATATAAAGGCATGTACTCTTCAAAAACAAACAAAACAAAATCCCAGCATCCATTTTCACAGGCTTCGCCTGTTTAGTTTGTGTACATTTATTGTAAGTCTGTATGTCTTTCTGTCGCCCAATCAGGGCTATTCCTGGTACTGCCTCTCTGTGGCAGTGAAGAAATCCTCCAGAACGCTCCTCAGGTACTCGAAGGTGGGCCTGTCCTCTGGGTTTTCCCTCCAGCACAGACTCATGACATCATGAAGTCCATCTGAACAGTTTTCCGGCTTCGGCATTCTGTAGCCCCGCTCCAGGTTCTGGATTACCTCTGGGTTGGACATACCTGAACAACAGGGGAAATGTAGGAGATTATGGATATGCTGCTGTTTTCAGCAGTTATATAATCTATGCTAGAATTGTAATTTGATGATTTTATTAAATGATACTGTGATGGACAGGTACGAGTACAGTGCATGAGTATTTACCAGGGTAAGGTATGCGTCCATATGTCACTATTTCTGTCAGGAGGATCCCAAATGACCACACATCCGATTTTATGGAGAAGGTGCCAAAGTTTATAGCCTCTGGGGCGGTCCATTTGATGGGGAACTTTGCACCTAACACACGAAGAAACTTTATTTTTCAAAACAAGCATGAACACCTTGTGATTACATTTAAAGTGATTACTTCCCATATCAAATGCACTCAAACTAAAGTCTTATAATAAAACAAATAATACTTAAAAGACACATTATATAGCCTGAAAATGAGGTTCAATGGGCTCAAAAGAAGATGTGAAGTAAGGGATTTCAACAAGGTCTCGTTACCCTCTCTTGCTGTGTATTCATTGTCCTCGATCAGCCTTGCCAGTCCAAAGTCAGCAATCTTACAGATGAGTTCATTAGACACCAGAATATTGGCTGCTCTCAGGTCTCGATGAATGTAATTTTTCTTCTCGATATACGCCATGCCATCAGCCACCTGCAGGGGGCAGCACATCATTAGACAAGCCCTATGACCGCGTGTTCAGCGTGAAGGGACCTGTGTATGTTTTCATATTGTGCAATATTCATGTGTGTTGGACAGTTGAACTGGTTTGGTGAACTCCCAAACCAGGGAGTTTACCCCATGTCAGTTCCTTTCCTTACACCCTTTACCTCCGTACTCCACCCAGCCTGCTCTACTTCCTGATATGAAAATCTGCAGTCCTGCCTTTACCTCAGCCTACTGCAGACTGGCTGATTATTCCAGTGACTGTGGGTTTCTGACTCAAACAAATACTACATGAGTCATTTCTACATTGGCAGACCTCAGAGGGAATTTGATACTTCACTTAATGCAATAAGCATTTGGTGTGTGAGGGATGTAAAGATTTCTACAGAACTCACAACCCACAGTTGATACGCATCTGTGTCTTTTATGTCTGCGTGTGTGTTTTTGTTTGTTTATATATCTAACTCTCTACGTTTTTCTGGGTCAGCGGTGTATATTTCAGACACAAGAATCTATCACATAGGTGGGAATGGCCCCTGGGGGTCTTGTCAGAAACGTGAGACGTAGGCCTACGTATGTCTGAGTATTTCATAAACGTCGACTGTCGTCATGACTCCACTCTCAGGAAACTCAACGCCTCTTTACTCCGTTTGATTGTGGTATGACTCAATCTGAAAATTTAAAGCATTACTTTGCATTCATTGAATTAGATATAGCTTTACTCTGCTATAAGTAAAGTACATTTGAGTAAAACCACAAGCGCCAATGATTACACACATTTGTTTTTTGCAGGGATAAGGATGTGGACAGTGTCCAAGGTCATCAATCACTTGATGACGTTCGAGTTACTTGCTTAGCGCTTTAACCGCAAACGCTATCTGTGCATGATGATTCGCTTGAAAGAATCTTTCGGTAAAACATGTTCACCACAAAGCTCTGTGTAAACCCCTACCACTCTGCGCCAAGCTCTGAGGCGTGAGAGAAATTGCCTACTCCGGCTGAAGACTCTCTTGTCTTGTTAGACTTTGATATTTCAGTCTGTCTTCCTGTAGTTGTATTTTCCATTCTCACACCCACAATACATGTAGGCCGAAGTCAAAGTTCCTTTCCTGGCATGTAACATTTCGAGAGGAAGATGTGGGCACGATAATGCTTATAGAGCTAGATAAGACGACTGATATTCTCATATCTTTAGATAGTTAGCTTAGCAAAAAGATTGGAAACAGGGGGGAAAAGCCGAGGGTAAAAATAAACCGACAAGCAATTGAAGCTCACTAAACTACCCAGGTATTATATGTTAAGTAGTGAGCTTTAGGTGGTAGGTGGAATTTGCTACCTTTCTCCCTGTATCCAGTCTTTGTGCTAAGCTAAGCTAACTGTCACCTAACTCCCTAACAACTAACTCAAGCAAGAAAAAGTGTATTTCCCAAAATGTTGAACTACCCCTTTAACTTGCAGTCCAAACATCTGGCTTGACTGACAAGATGTCAGGCCTTTGTCAGGCTTTATATTCACAACATTAACTTTCATATGGGTGACAGTTCACAATGGTTGTCACTTCGGCAGAGCTGTGACGGAGCATCTTACTGTATGTTGATGAAAGAGAAATTACAAATTGAGAGAAATTTTGCAGAAAATCCGCATAATGTACATTCAGTATCTGGTTTTGTCACCATGCCCTCATTTTTATGAGTTGAACTGAGTCGGCACCGTGAGTAGATAATCGTGTGACAGAATTTTATGGGGTGAATTTGTCTCCTATTCAGGCTGTTTGATCGTAACACAGTTTTATTTGCGTCAACATGTCTAAACCGAAGTGCATCACAATACACATGCACCTCTGCTCATACACTCGTCCAGCTCTGTCGTTATTGCAAGATCAGTGTTGTGTGTAAGCCTCGTCACAACAATGGCCAGTTTTACGTCTATGAGGATCACGCTGAGAGAATAGGAAGGGATGAAAGGGAATCTGGTAAATGGAGTATGGAGATAAGAGCACACAAACATTGATAGTAAAAAAAAAGAGATGTCTTGCCTGAGCCGCCATGTCTATCAGAGTGTTCATGGGCACACTGCCTCCCTCCGTTGTTTTCAGGTAATCCACCAGGCTACCTGTAAAAACAACATTCAACATTTTGCTGAACAATATGAATTTTTATTACAAATCATGCCACAACAGGTAGTTGACTCTAGCAACCTATTTCTGCAAATTATGAACTATCACCACCAGTATATCCTTGATATTACAAATGTGTATGCCTGTTTATTGTACTGTATTTGAAGGCGCTATGTACATATGATTAAGCAACAAGTTTTAATATTAATTGGAAAACAAAAGTTAAGTCATGCTTTGTCCAGAAGACTGATGATATTTTCCTTGGGTCCAAAAAACATCATGATTCCCCACAGACACAAATAGACAGTTGGACCAGAAATAGCACTTCAAATCGGGGAACATAACATTGTGAGGAAGTAGACGGGGCATCTGTCAAGTTGATACATAGCTTCTGACAGCAGACTTTGTGTTGAGTTTGATTAGCAGAGAACAATACCTCTGCACGCCAGCCAACCAAGTCAAACCAAAGGAAATAAGAGGAATGACTGTGCCAGGAAAGAGGAGGCCTTTGCTCTTCTGCTTAAGTCCGGAAGACATGCTTTTGAAGTCTGAGAGCCAGAGGAATGCTCTTTGTCAAGGTCACAAAGGGAAGTTGGGATGACACGCCTGTTATTTTCCATCTTTGTTGCCTCCGATAATAATAAAAAAATAAAGGACAAACTGAAAAGACGGGCACTCCGAGCCCTCCTTTTCTCTTGACAACAGAGGCGACAATTGTGTCCTGTCCACACGTGGACAGCGGACAAAGAGGCAGCCTCATGTAGAGCCACTGCTGGTGGTTTACAGGCCACTCACACAAGACCATACAAAGGCACTCCATTCAATACAACTGTAAGGCTGTTGCTTTGCTTGTGACGGCATCTCTCTATGCATTTTGTTATTGTTCCTCCCAGGGAAAAATAATTACAAACACTTTCGAGGTCAAAGTGAAACAGATGGTGGATCACTTCTATATGTATGCAGCATGTGGGCATAATAAACTATTGCAGGGCAGAAAGCGTGTAGTATGGAAAGTTGTTTGCAGCTGTTACCATGACCCCATTGTATTACTTGTGTTTGTGAGTCGCAGTACTTTCACACGTAGTTTGCTTTGTAAGAAGGCAGGGAAAGATCCAGTGGCATGATGCTGAACAAACAAAGTTTGTTAAGGTTACAGTGTTGGAATATTTGTGTACATGCGTGCATGTGCTTGTGAGTGTCTGTGGATGCACGTAATACAGACTCTGGGAAGTAGCCAAGTATCATCAAGGGGTCTGGGTGAACAATAAGCTGGTGAATCACCCTCTCCTTGACACCCCCTTGACTCAGACTCAGCCAGGGGAGACTTCCCCTCAGTGAGTAAACACCAGTAACCTGCCTGGAGGGGGGCCCGGAAAAGAAGTGAAAGTTCATGTTTGCTTTGAAACATTTCAGCAAAGAGCGGCAAAAATAGGAGCGTCGTGAGGAGAAGCTGAAAATAGCCTATCAGAGGGGCAGACCACTTCAGCAGAGCGGCATGCTTTGGGAGGCAAGGCTCATGACTTTGCTCCCTTATTTAGGTTTGCTCTCACTGCTGCATTCATGTCCAATCGCGGTTGATGATCGTGCGCTATCAAACACAAATATACATTCAACAGAGTCGCTGAAGTGGAGCACACGTATGAAAACATGATGACTTGTGAAAGGGTTGAAACACATAGGGCAGCCCATGTCTTTGGTTCGAGGATGTGCTCTAGCAACCGTAGTCCGATACCAGATCAACATGTTTGGTCCTGAACGTCTACTATTCACCACTGTCTATAAAATACTTTCTGTGTCTTTGCTCGAGGCGCCGACCTTACCTTGATGACACCGCCTTTAGTTAGTTAGATTATGGAAATAATCGTTTCAGGCAGGTTTAGACATATTCCAGATGACTAAACGGAACTGAGAGGAGTTGGTATGATGACAGAAGGATTTCTTTTTAATTTAGCTTCAAATGAGCATTCATTTCACAAAATTACCCTGGGACCAAGTTTTCAGTGATATTTGGAATTCCCTCATGACAGTTGACGTTATTAGCAAAATGCCTTAGGCTGTGACACGTATACAGTATTTCCACCCACCATTTTCCATGTACTCCGTGACAATAAAGATTGGCTCCTGGGTAACAACGGCGAAGAGGCGGACGAGGCGTGGATGCTGCAAGTTCTTCATCATGTTGGCCTCTGCCAGGAAGGCTTCCACCGACATTGTTCCCATCTTCAGGTTCTTAATTGCCACAGTCCTTTCATTGTTGTAGACACCTGAACATATACATTTAGTCATCAGCAGGATATTGAAAGACATGGATCAAGAAAAGAGACTTAGAGTCTACAGCTATGCCAGCAGCTCTGTGAGGCTGGACAAACGGTGCTAACGTCCTGATGTTAAGCAGGTATAAGGTTTACCATGATCACCATTTTAGTTTAGGCCATCAGCGTGCTAACTTTTGCTAATTACCACTAAAAGTACTGCAGGGGCTGATTGTAATGTCATTAGTTTTGCAAGAATTTGTTCATCAAGCAAAGTATTGAGTGGTTGGAATTTTTATTTGATGATGGGGCTAGACTAAGAGTCAGAGGATGCCTTAAGGTATTGGGATTCATCTTCTTGGGACCATGAATATTTGTGTTAATCCACCCAATAGTTGTTGAGCAATTTCACTTCAAAACAAAAATGTCCACCTCACGATGTGCTTGAACAAAAGTTAGGAGATAACCAAAGTCAGGCTGTTAGCACTGCAGGAAAAAACCTTGTCAGCATGAATGACTACACTGTGTAGTCTTGGTTTAAAAGTAAACCAAGAATGCTTTCATCTCAGCTTGTAGGGTTCATAAACACAGTGGTTATGTCATGACTTGTGATTAAGTGCTAAACAGACAACAGCTCCACATGACTCTCGCGCAAACAGGATCTCATTCTAGATCTGGTTCACTAACACACATGCCAATCAAACCCGCAGCCAACCAGTTCCATCTTCAGTCATGTAACACGGTGAGCATCTCTCACCGTGCATGAAGCGTAGCAATAGGAACAGATTGCATTCACCATTCAAAACATTCCTCCGTATTTTCATGATAATTAACAAGAATAAACACCTCATAGCAAGCGACAGTGTCATTACTCAATCATGCCCTTGAACCAGTGTTTGGATGAGGATAGAAAAACAAATACAATGCCAGACGCCATGCAGGAAGATACTGTAAATAGAAAGTGGCTGTGAAATAAGGAAACGTTGCATGGTTGGCAATGTTTATCTCTTGTACAGTAGTTGTTTGGCATGTGGAATTGCGCTGGCAAATGCGGATGGAAAATAGAAGGGAAGTACCCGTCCAATTGAATAACAAGGGGGTTGTGTCACAGGTTATTTCAACTGATATCCTCGGGATCAAAACATGTTGCCTTCTTGTTCAGAGATCATTCCTCCAATCCGTGAGCTCTTTGGAAATTCATATTTATGTAGTTTGAGTGATGTTGCATATAACGGGGATAAAACCTCAAATCATTCTCCAGTTATACCAGCTCATACAAGCCTACAATTATGACTGTGTTGAGGAAACTGTTCTGCACATGCTGCAGAAAAACCCTGGCTGAAATCTTTAGCAGCCCCACAGCTCCATTGAGCAACTGGGCTTTGTACATGTGACGTGTCGGTGAAAAATGACGCAAACTCCTGTGCACAAAATGGAAAAATAACACTTAAATGATTGAACTGAAAGTCAATCACGTCCCCACATTGTCCTCCCTGGCACTTACCCATCCAGACTTCTCCAAACTGTCCTGCTCCGAGCCTGCGCTCCAGCTTCAAGGACTCGCGGGGAATCTCCCACTCATCCTGCCACCAGGGCTTCTGCGGTGCCCTCGACTGACACGGCTTCATCAGCTTTGTGCACAACCCGTCGGCTTCGCCTGGACGACAGAGAGAAAGAGAGAGGACACAGGTTAAATATTGTTCCGATGAAGACCCGACAGTGATCTCGATTAGTCCTCTCAACGGGCTGCACGCACGTGAGTGATGCTGGACGAGCTCCTTCAGCGAGATGAAGGAGATCTTGGCTGTGATGTAGAAGCCGCCGATGTCCATGTTGCGAATTCTGTAGTGCTTGACTCCTTCCCCAGTGTTGTGGTCCAAGTCCCTGATTGACAGGGAGAATGACCCTGGAACAAATAGGAAGCATGTGAGATTATTTCGCCTGATATATCTGAAAATCACAAAGCAAGTTAGCTTTAAACTTCGGTTTGGAGGGCTTATGTGTCACATTTTGATATATTCAGTTATTGGTGTAAATGGGTATCTATGTAGGGCACATCTTGGCATTCCAGTGTTTTTGCCGCATTTCCAACACAAATAGTGGAATGAGAGAGAAAAGCAAAACGAATTGAACAGAAGCAAGTTAGAAAGCAGGAAGGGTGTTTCTGGGATATGGGTAGTATTTTATAAACACTGCCATTAATAACAAGACTGAGTAACACAGAGGATGTCATTTTGTGCATTGTCTCACTTGTAAAACAATTATATTGATATCATTTTGGCTGCATATGAGTCAATGCCATGATGAGAAAAAGGTTCACCTTGGGTTGTCTCGCTCTCTCGAATCAGGAAGGAGCCCAGCGTGTTCCCAGGAGAGAGGAGGAGCCTCATGGCTTCGTTTCTAGAAATGTTCTTAAAGAACCACCTGCAGCACAAAACACACAATATGCTTCACACTTTGAGCTAACCACTTCCCACTCCCCCGGGGACACAGCATGCACGGTACGAGACTTTGAAGGCTGAGTGACATGGCGTTGAGAGCAGTATCATTATGTTTCCTGTGTGACGTACGGTTCAGTCTCCACCGTGGTCATTGCAACAAAGTTGTGCGGGATGTGGCCCCGCTGGCCTGTGGTGAGAGACTCAGCCAAATACCATTCCGGATCGTCCCTGGATGTCAAAAGAGACAAGAAACAGCAATGAGGGAGCTTACGCATAGACTTTTTTGGGATGAATAAGTACACCTTCAGAATGCATGATCACTGCATGGAATGAACCGCAGATGTCTTGTCTTACAAATCAGCAGAAGGCCCAGAACAGATGCTCACTACAAGTAAAATACAATATTCACCACATTATATATAGCTTTGACATTCATCGGAGGGAAAGTTCTCCCTGAAATCAAAATGATCATATTTTCAAAGTAATCTTCCAGGCAAAAGGTGTATTAAAAAAAAGTCATGTTTTATCAAGTGTTTGATTACAAAGTTTGTAAATTGTGTCTGCCTACATTATGGTCTAATTCCAGGTATATACAATTCATTTATTTTAATATATTTAGGATTGTTTGGCCCAAAAAACGGACACATTTAATCTACAAGATAGAAAACATGTTATATGTGTCATCTTAAATTTCCAGACATATTACTGAGGTTATGACCTTTTTGGCCTCAATGGTAGGTATATATGCTCTACATAGGTTTACTCTTTTCAATCCATGATGTTTTTGAGATTTTTGCCTTTATCAAATAGTGAACAGCAGAGAGAGACAGGAAATATCCCCGGTCAGAAAGTTGAATACATGACACGTGCCTTCTGCATTATGAACTATGGGCTGAAAAACTGTTAGAAGTCTTTCCATTAAGCTCTAAACCGATTACATGTCAATCAGCAACTTACTTGTTGATGATCTTGAGCTTGTCTCCCTTCTCAAAGCCCAGGTCACCATCATGGTTGGGTTCATAACTGTATATGGCCACCACAAGGTTGTCTGCAAGAGGAATATCGTACGTTTTTGTCAAACAAAAAATACTTTATATATATAGAGGATAGTAATTACTCACAAATGTATCTGTTATAATAAATAAAAGCTGTGTTGTTGTGTGCTGGGTGTTTGAATCCCCTTGATTCTGATATTTTGACAAATGGCTGCCTCTAAAGGCTCAATGTCAATGAATGGAGATAGTGGTACATTTCTGTACATATACAATGTGTATGTATATATATATACCACATATCATTGTGGCTAAATTGGCTTTCTGATAGTTAGAAGTGTAATTTAATCCATAAATATATCATACAATGAGGTAAACAATTCAAATTGTTGTGGAAAAAAATGAAAAAAGAAGATTACCCAGTAAGAAAAAAAAGCATATAATGTATTTACAATATATTTAAATATAATTCACATATGTATTCAATCCCACTATAACACACACACTTAGTATTTACTTGTAATATATGTTTACTTCATTAACCTAACACTGCCATTCTGTTTTTTCCCACATTTTGCTACCTCTTTACTTTACTAAGATACTGAAACACACAGAAAGACAGACTGTATCTTGTTACCTGGTAATGGAGATGTAGGAGGTGAATGCTGTGATGGGTATGGAATCAGCTGGTCTGTGTACTGGTGAGGGAACAGCAAGATTAGACTCGCAACTTAAGATGAGCTTTCCAAAGAACAATAGAGGATTCATGCGGTGAAACAAGGCACTATCTCATGTCACATTCACAGTAAAATGTCATCGGTAACAGTTTTGTTTTTTCTCCCAGACAAAATGTCTCGAGCTATTGTGGTACACGCAGGTGGCTTTCTCCTTTATTTCTAATCTAATGGGACATCTAACTCACATGGAGGAAACGAACCACTGAGGGAATAATTACTCCCCCATTTAATCACACGCACAAAAGAGAACTTCCCTCGCGAGTTATAAAACGTTGCTGGACTCAAACATGCAATAATACATTTTTTTTTTTATTTTCTCCGGGTAACGGTTACATAATTTACACAGCATGAAATGAATTGTGGGAGCACATGTGTTCACACCTTCTCGCTTGTACTGCAGTAAACTTATGTGGATGACCTCCAAGTGGTCAATCACATTGAACCACGCTGTAACAAAAAACCCATTCATGCGAAGCTCACTCAAACACAGACACTCATTCACTCATACCTTACAATGTGCGATGCACTGACACAAGCCTGGGCCACATGCGAAACGTACATGGACACTTACTGGATTGCATGACTGGGGAGGTATGGGACAGTTGCATTGTTCACAGACTTCATCCAGGTTCTCCATCCAGTCTCCCTCCGAATAGTCCGAACTGCAGTTACATCCCATCTTTTCTGCAATTTGAGAGATTAAGACGGGCATCAACATGTTCCTAAGATAATGATTCGGCCTACTCATATTTGAATGGAAATAAATTCTCTAATGGCGGTATTTTGTTCTGTTTATCAACAGTTTTCAGGCATCATGCTCTGCATTTGGAATTGCAGACATCAAATACTGTTTGGAAAACAACAACAACAAAAAAACAGAAAAAAAACAACTAAAATTGTGGATGAAACTACCAGAAGACACAAATGTTTTCGCTTCTTTCACTGCCTTAATCGGATGTGACCGAGGGCCTCGCCTCAAAATGGAGGCTCAGCGGTGAATCAGGCTGGAAACTAAAAGCTTAACACTTTTAAAATGTTCCATTTTAGGCACTAAATTGACACCACATAGGAACCTGCACACACCAGTACTGAAATCACACCCAGAGCTGTGTGACGCAGCTACATTGTTACTATCACCTACAGCATTGCAAATCGCAGGCGTTACATGTTCCAGTTCTACTTCAGACTTGAATAGTAGGCTTTATAAAATTCTAAAAACACTAATCTTGTATAATCCAACAACACGTGTGCTGTGTTGTGTTTTACACTGGTGCATTGCACAAATGGGCTTTCTCAAGCTCACTTGGCTCCCTTTGGGCCACTCTAAGAGCAGGGTCAGTGGGCTAATCGCAGCAGCCGCTTGTCCCAAAGGCTCAGAGCTGTGAGAAAAATCTGGAGAGGCCTGACCCAGCAATAACAATAACAATCCATCACTGTACTGAGACCCCGAGGAACGAAATCACTGTAATCCACCAGGGTATGAAGAGGTTTTAAAAAAAAAATCTATTATCAGTACTGCTACGCCTACTGGCCAGCACTCAGGGAGTCACACAAACAAAGTCAGCATTTTCCATTGAGGGGCTACCCTCTTCTCTCTATGATCTGCAGCTGATGGCCTTTTCCAAACAAATACTGATGACTGTTATTGTTTGCAAAGTATTATGGGTATGTCGATGACCGAAGACATTCTGGCTTTGTCAGTGAGGCTTGTGGGCTAATAAACTGCACTTTTTCAGCAAAAATGGGGAAACGCCATAAGAAGCTAAATTTACACATTAAAAAAAATATTTATTTATATGGATTTTCTTTGCGTTGAACCTTTTTCGGTCCAATTTTGACATCTCACACTCAAATTAGTTTTTTTGCTTCACGTATGATCATCATCACCTATACCTTATCTCTCATAAAGTTACAGCTGAATTTAAAAACACATACATACCTGAAGTTTATATTTGATTTTTTTAAATGTATTAATAAGATACAGATGCATATTTTTATTACAATGAGAAAGAAACTTATTGCTGTTATGTGGTCTTTTTTGTAAAACAGATTTTTATCAACAGAGAAAATGAACACCAGCATGTGAATATGTTTTGCAATTTGCCTTTATGTTAAAATCATGAAACAACAAAATATGGATTTTAGCTCATTCTGATTGTGGACATTATTCTTCTCTATACATCAATTTTCATATATTGTATAAAAGTCAATAGATTTTCTCAACTCTAAACAAACCTTCTGATTTATTTAGCATATTCTATATAACACATGATAATTATAGGGAAAGGATTTACCTGAGTCAGAGTCTTTTCATCCTTTATATTCTAAACATATGTATTGCTGATAGACTCACACGTTTGAAACGTACCTCTTGAAATATGAAATGTCTCTTCAAGCGTCCAATATCAGATTTCCCGAGCCGCCATAGAGATATTCTTTATTGAATAGTTATCTTTTTTGTAAAATAGCTATTTAGCAATAAGTGCTGGAGCCCTGGTGTGAAGATGTCATCGTCCGCTTCTCTTATTATAACTAACTCTTAGCTAGACGTGCTGATGTGTGTCTGTACACGCGCAAACACACACTTAGGAGGAGTGGAGGAGAGCGACTCGCAGAGTTTCCTGTCGTTGAAAGTTTGAGGGTTGCTCTGCAGGCTTGTAACAGGTGCTTCACCTTGCAGCTGTGTGTGAGCAGGGGGAACGTTATGGGCTCCATGGTAGTAAAGGGGTCAGGACAGCACTTCTCCCAGAGATGTTTCCAATACAGTTTAAAAAAAAAAGAAGGCTATGGTAGGGCTGTAAGTGAGGTGTGTATTTATATTTTTGACTTTTGTGCGTAACATCTGTGCGTCAGTGACCTTTAACGTGAGGAGCACAAAGGTTGAGGAGTATTTGATAAGATTTCAGCTTCACACTGATCTTAGCAGTTTTATAATTAATCATCATTTATATCATTTACAGTAATGCCAAACAAATTTTAAATCTGGTGATTTGGGACAGGCGTGTTTCCTCTGTAGAGGTTTCAGGCCTCAGGTTTAATATGAAGACAACAAGGCTATTTCTGTCAATCATACATGTGGTTTCCATCTGTTCTTTTTGTGGTCAGCGGACCATTTAAAAATAGACTTTGACCTTGGTTTTCACAACCAAGTTATGTGAAGTTAATAGATAAAATGAGTCACAAATATCTCACTCACAGAGGAATAACCAAACAAGTGTCAATCAGTGGATGACCCTCCTACACATCATCATTTTAACCAAAAGTTCAAATGAGGCCACATTATGGTCACAGTTAGCCCCGTGAGGCGACATGAATAGTGGTCTCTCAGAATGCTTACAGCCTGCGCTGGTGCGCTTCCTACCTCACAGGCACCTCGCGTCTCTTCTCTTGTGGTGAACGGCTGCTGCTACAGAGCATGCACTGACAGGAAGTCAGTCCAAACATTACAGGAAGTGCACAGACATGTGTGCTTAGAAGACTGCCACAGAGGAGATTAAGTCTCACTTGATGAAACCACCTGAGCTCACGCTTTTTTTCCGTTAAAGCACATAACAAAGAGCGTAAATCTAGGAGGTATAGTTTCACTTTTTTGGGGGGGCTTTTTGATAGTGACGTATGTTTCAGAGTATATTTTACTGAGCTGATTTAAACAACCCAGCATCCATTGTATTATATCTGTCTCTGAGGGGATGATGGAAAGATAAAAGAACCTCACCATCTTTGGAGATCTGCTTTTGGCAGGCCTCGTGAGCCTTTAAGGGTATTCCTAAATGTGGTTGGAAATCAGATTATGTTACGCAATCGAATCAAGATGCTATCAATAAGCAGAAAGTTTTCCAAACCTCCTACCGACCCGCTTTGCGCTTGCAGGTGTTGGCCTCTTTCGTGTGAGCGAGTGCTGCTTCAGTTGTGCTGCTATAATGCTTACTCATGTACACTTCAAAACAGCCTTCAACCAATTCAAACAGTATGCATTTATAAGTTTGTTTCGATTCAAAACAAACACTCCAATACCAGCTTATGCTCATGCGATGACACGTGGTATGATATGGTGGAAAAGTTCAAGTGAAACTATCTGCAGGGCAGAGCTGAGGGGCACGAGAAGCACAAGTCTGCAGAGCTTAACTTTCAAAGCATTCACTGGAGATTCGAGGCCTCAAGGTACAATACCTCGGCCCCTGTGCATTTTCCATATGATATTAATTTCCACTATCAATGTAACAACCAACATTTTAAATTCTAATAAAACTGAATTGAAAGTGACAGAGACAGAGAAAAGTCTCTTTAATATCGTGCTGGATGTGCAAGAAAACATGAGAGTTTTAAGGCATTTGTCTTTATTCTCATTTGTCATATATACATTCATATTACAGTAGCATGATTTAACAATAACGCTTATAGTTTGTTTTTGTTTTTTTACATTTAAAACAGTTAAAACCAATGTCTCATGTTATTAAACAAAAACATCTAATTACTCATTCATACTTGCTGTTACAAATAATATAAAGCTATAAAACAAACCACTTAACTTGCCCTAAATTGCCCGAGCTACAACTTGGTCACTGTCCAGCCATATATAGTTTGTAAACCGTGCTCTGCAGCATCTGGACGCGGTAATGGAAAACAAAATTTCGTGAGGCACAGCCTCCTGGGTGCGCTGCGCTGCTGAGGATATTGAGATATATTTGGTTTGTGAAGAAGAGGCTTCAAAATGCTGGAGTGTGACATCCCACTTCCTTTGAGGATAGCGGGAGGGACAGAGCCCTGATGAAGGCTTCAACAGCTGGAATATGTTGCTCTATCAACGGACTCCATTTACTTTAAAGTGTTGCTGAACATGTTCTTTATCGGACCAGACGTGTTGTACTTTTTCACTCCACAAATAAATGTATTAGTGATGTGAAGGACTTGTCCCCAACCTTTTTTTTGCATTGTGACGTCCTAAAATAAAACAACTTCCATCCCCTCATCACTGGATGTATCCAGTTCAACCAGAGGGTGGGCGAGATGTAACTATTCAATAATTTAAAAAAGGAAAGACTGTGGAAAATCTTTTTTTGTGGTTAATCGCCTCACAACCTCTCAGATAAATCTCGCGACCCTTTGTTTGGGCCCCGACCCCTAGTTTTGGGAACCACTGACTTAAAGTGACCTGCACTGCAACCATGAAGCTCCCTCTACACTGTCTTCTTTTCTGAAGTGAACTTCTTCGTCGATGAATTATTCTTCTGCAAAACAGTACCGCTCTCCCCATAACTGTTTCTCACTTCTTTGGCACAAGTGAAACGTTCTTCACACAACACAAAATCATTGGGTATAAGATATAATGCCGTAACTCCATATCTACCTTTGCATCTAAGTCTAGCCTTCATCCGTCCACTCTGATTAACATGACTGTGCAAAGAACAGTCAACAACAGAGCAGCCTGGGCTCCGTCCAGCAGGAGGGTGTGCCTGTATAACAGTAAGGGCGTGTGCCCTTACAGGTCTTCACACTGAGGCCTCCTCATGCATGTCAAGTCAAGGTGCAAAATCATTTTCGTTTTCACCCAGGGCACCAATAGTCAGCAGTCACTCTATTCACACTATCGACAGCTCCCGAGGAGGAAACAGGCCTGAACAAGGGATTTTTTTTTTAACACAGTGAGAAACGTCTGGAGTTGATGTTCATCTTGGTGAGGCCCAGGTGTTTGAGCGGCATGGACAGAGCGAAGGCGGCCTTCATGGGGATGTCGCATAGCAGGTCCGACTCCTCGCCGCACTCCTCCAGCTCGTACGTGGCATCGTCCAGCATCTCCTTGTGGCGGTCGCACGTCTGCTCCACTTTGAGCCGGTGGATCTCCCCACGCAGACGGATCAGCTGGCGGGCCAGGCGGTTGTCCTGGACCTGCATCTCCCTCTGAGGGGGGAGCAGGGGGGGTGAGAAAGAGCATCAATGAGATACCATAGAAAATATGTGAAAATTTGGATTTGGGATCTTCTCATAGTTTTTTTATCTTCTTATCAAAAGGTGTAAATCACTGGCATGTGGAATATACGGGCTGCAGCCTGAGACTGTGAGAAAACATGCATCATCCTGTTTCACTAATTGTTTGTTTAGGCTGTGAGAACTGCATGAGGTCATGCTCTGCCCTAATTTAAGTCAGGCATTCATGCATGCAGCAGATCACTGACACCTGAGGAGATGACAATGGAGTAGGGAGATAAACATCTATTTCACAAACACGCATAAGGAACTTGAGAAAGAAATGCTTTTGGTTTGACAAAGCTGCAGCAAAATGAGTATCATTGTTTTTCAGTATGATAAATCTTTAGGTAAAATAAAAACGCTCAGGAGACACTCACCAGCTCTTTCCTCAGAAAGTCCAAGGCATCATCGATAGTGTCAAAGCCACAGATGTTGCGCACGACCAGCTCCGAGTTCTCGTTTCTCAGGACTGCGGGCGTGGAGGCGACTTGTCCCTCAGAGCCCGGACTGTCACTTTCCTTCCACGGTCGGCTCTCTACCCGCTCCTGCCACTCCAGGTAGGACGGTCTGCGGGTCTGCAGCTTCAGCTTCTCCGTAAGCGCTTTCACGCTGTCCAGATCGTTGGCGTCGCCCTCGGGGGACTCTTCTCCTAACTCTTTGAAATCCATCGGCGTAGTGATGAAGGAAGTCCTCAGAGAACGGGAATTCACGTGAAGCTCGTTTTCTGGATTGGCAGCGTGGGCGATTGGAGCGCAACAAGCTCCTTACCTCCTTTATAGGCTGATAAGAAGGAGTGACCGCCCATCCCGCAGACAGAGGCCAGGGAGGCTGGATCATTTAAAGGCTTTTTTTTCGGAAGACAGATTTCCACAAACTTCTTTGAGACCTTAAAACAGAGTGTCGCTTTGTCACTTATCGAATGAAAATACAAAATATAGGTAAAACCCTCTAAATTTCAAGAAAATACAGTTATTTTGGAATTTGTAGAGAAGTGTGACAACATGCTGTATCTGTTTTATCATTTTAAATCACAAATGTTGTTGTGCAAAGTAAATAAGGTACTTGATGCGAGTATTAGTGACTTTATATGACTTCACCTGTGGTGGAAGAAGTATATTCATATTAACATTACAATAATGTATAAATGCTCCATTACAAGTAAACGTCCTGCATTGAAAATCTCCCATTGCGATATAGCATGCTTTCCGATCATTCAATAATCAAATGGTCAGATGAAATAACCTCATGTTTAATACTCTTATGTGAAATAAATACTTGACAAATGAAAAGTACTGAGTATTTTCTCCTTTAATTGGGAACTTTAGTGCAAATAATCAGATTTTCTGAAAAAAATGAGAAATATGTTCTTGGTATTATCCACTTAGACGACACATTGTGTATCAGGATGTTTTTGATTTATGATTTCATTATTCCATTGAAAGATGATACATTATCATCTTGAATTATTGCAGGCAAATGGCCACTGCGGGTGTTGTATTATTGTTTAACCCTATATGACAGTACTGTCTTATGTGTAGGAAGCATTTTAATGTTATAGCTGGTTCTGAATACTTTATATTTCTGGGTAGTTTAATTTATTGCAGTGGCTTTTATTCTATAATCGTGCCATGCGTTTTGTATGAAAAATATGCAATCAGCAAAGTAACTGTAGTTAGTCAAATAAATGTTATGGGGTAAAGAGAATATTCCCCTTTGAAATATAATGGAGCCGAAGTATAAAAAAGCATGAAATGGAAATACTCAAAGTCAAGTAGAAGCACCTCAAAATTATATTTAATTAAGTAGGCTGCATTAGTAAATGTATACATTCCACCACTGTATTGCAATACATTTCAGAGGGAAACTTTTTAATGACCTTTTCAAAGGGCTACATTTATTTAAGTGCCTCAGTTAGTTGTTTTGCGGATAAACATGTTACATACAAAACTGATCAACTTTCTAAATGATGCATCTAAAGATGCAAATAAATAAATAACAGTATAAAAAAGAACCTAGTTAAATGTAGAAACACTGAAATGCTGCATGCAGTTTTGCAGAAATACCAATACATTAACATAATATACCGTAAACTTTAATACATTGAAATGGGGCGTTCTGCACGTGAGTGCTTTTACTTTTACATTTTGCTGATTGTAATAGCCTATGTAGGTGCATTTCATTGTCATTGACTATTTTTGAGGCTCAAATCGTTCTTCCACCCCTGCACTAAACCAAACTCAATGTTTTGTCAAATTCAGCACCAGTTTTTTACTTTTGAGTATTCTGCCATCTAGTGGTCATTAATTATACAACACGCGCACCAGTGCTGCCTCTCTCCCCCCCACCCCCCACTGTGTGAGAAACTTTTAAACAGCAATGTGTGACACATCTCGGTGCTGCTGTTTCTCAGGAAACGGCAACTTCCGTCTTTTGTCGCCTCAAGTAGCACATCGTTGTTTCCAGAGCAGTCTCGTGCACGGCCACCTGTGTGAGGGAAGGTGTAGCAACATAAGTGCATAAACTATGCTCAGAAAAAAAATGAATCTATTTATAGGCTCCTTATCGGCGAGCAAACAGAGCACAACTGTTGTGCTACCCAAACTAGTGAGGTGAGGAGAGGAGAGGAGGGAGCTTTCGTTTTCTTTACAAGAGAGGCGAGCACTTGTGGCCACTTGTGCACTGAGAAGTTTCAGCAGCGGAGGTTTTTTTCAAATTTTATTTTATTTATTTATTTTATTTATTTGCTTTTTTTGTGACGGCCGGGGATCTGATGGAGTTTTCTGAGCACATTAAGACCGCCAATATGGAGAACGTGGTGCTCCGGCAGCCGCTGCACCCGCCGAGCAGAGGCACCCTGTGCATCACCGGCCACCACCTGCTCTTCTCGGACAGGGAGGAGGAGGGCAGCGGTCGGCAGGTTCTGCTGCTCCTCAGGAACGTCGATGCCATTGAGAAAAGGTGAGGCAGGAGGACCGGAGAGTGATCATTGCAACGACATACGTCTTATCAAGTAGTTTACTTGAGCAGTGCATCATGGAATAAAAATAGAGAACAATAGGCAATGTGCTTTCAATTTGCCCAAAAACATGACATTTGATTCAACAGAAATCAATGAACCACCTTAATATACTCAATTGCTTTAAAATACTAATTACAGCATTTAATAAGGCTTTATAGATCTTTCCAGCACTTTTTTATTCAAGGGATTATAGTCACAAGCAATTAATCACACTAATCAACATAACTAATGAACACCAAAGCTGTCAGTGAATTGTCTAATTGATGTCTAATTCCATTATTCCTCAAATGTTTTTAACCAGTGTGGAAAACCTTTTGGCCCACTCCGGCCCCTTCTGTAATGAAGGCCACAGTCAAAGGTTGGACATCATTCGTGTTGCCATGTGTCTGCTGCTCTTATTGCCCACAGTGCTGAAGGAGGAAGTGTGCTAACAAGATTATAATGCGTTGCTTGCTGCTAACCGCGTCTTCTGAGCTTGCTGAAACCACTCGATGTGTTTTTGGTCAGCAGTTCAGTTTCCTTTTCGGCTGCAAGTCAAACTTTCTGCACTGCCAGAGTCAAAACAGGAGGCGTTGAGGGGGGAAAGTTGACACAGGGGTATTGTTTTGTTTCATAGTTGTGTGTGTGTGTGTGTGTGTGTGTGTGTGTGTGTGTGTGTGTGTGTATGTAGGATATCTGGATCCTCAGGGACCATTACCATCAAGTGTAAAGATCTGCGTGTGCTCCAGCTTGACATCCCGGGCATGGAGCAGTGTCTCAACATTGCTCGCTCCATCGAGGTATAATAAATAATCTATTAAACCTACTAAACCCTCAAACATACATGGATAAGGAAATTAGTGTTTTCCCTTCTTGCTATGGGATCTTACATCCTTCCTTTGAATACAACGTTTCTCATTATTTCCGCCGTTGCCCTCATCTGTGCTTTCTGATAACATTCTCTTTGGAAGTCAAGTCAATTTGAATCCCTCTTTCACTTTCTCTATAGACCCTGTCCGGTCTAGACGGTGTGTCGGAGATGTACCCTTTCTTCTACAGACCTTCTAATGTCAGCCTGCAGGACCAGTGGGGCCTGTCGTCCCCTGAAAACCACTACAGTCAAATGAAGGAACTTGTAAGCAACATATGAAACCCTGTGTCTCACGAGCTTGTTTCTGCTGTGCAGGGATGTAACACCTAAAACACACACACATACTGGTAAGTCATCCCCACAGTGATCCAACAACCACATGACAGGAAAATACCATGGAAACTGAATGCATGGGTCAAGACTCAGGATATCCCTGTCGCTTAGCTTTCATTTGTTTTCCCTTAACTTCAGAATGTGCTGCACACAGCTTGAATTTGTGTCTAATACAGTGTCGTCTCCCTCTGGGAGTAGCATGTTGCTATGGTGATGGGTGGACCCTGCAGGGAAGCATTGTTGGCGCAATGTTCCCTGAACTTGTAGGATATCTTTAGTTTTCATCTGGCAGGCCCTGTGAAGGGACTTTTTGGAGCCTGCATGTTGACTCACATCCGTCAGCTGATTCCTGCCATGAGTTGAGCTTCGTGTTATGTGGTCGAGGTTTGTCAAATGGAGTTTAAAAAGGAATGATCTGACATCGTGAGAAATATGCTCCACGCAGAGTTAAAGCAAGGAGACAGTTAGCTTAGCTTAGCATTAAGACTGGAAACGCGGAAACAGCTATCCTGGCCCTGTCCGAAGGTTAAAAAGAAAATCCGCCTGTCAGCACCTCTAAAGCTTCCAGAAAAAAATAGTGTGGCATTTTTGCAGTTTAGTTTATATATGGATTCTGTTAGGCAGATTTTGTTTATCTTTTGACAGAGCCAGGCTAGCTGTCCCTCTGTCTCCGATATGCTAAGATAAAATAACTGCCTCCTGGCTACAGCTTTATTTTTGTTGTACAGATATAGGGGTGGTGTCCTTGTTCCCATGCTGCACTTTGGGATTTTTGGTAAACATGTCGAAATCAAAAGTGAAACACTAAGTTTATAGGCCCTCTAGTTTTTTAAGGGTGAACAATTGAGCAGTGAACAAGTTCTACATGCGGAGGAAGGTGGACCCGCCTATGTTAGAGCTGTTTCCTGTAGCGTTAGTATCCTTTGACAAAAAGCAGGGTGGTGAACATGAATGTGCCGTGTGCAGGTTACATGTCCCGTGCGTATTAAAGTTCAAACAGTTACTGTGTCACTGTGACCGCCCTTGATGGTCCTCTCTCTCTCTCCTGTTTGCAGCATGACAGGTGGAGACTGAGCACTGTGAACAGAGACTACTTAGTGTGTCCCTCTTACCCTCCAGCCGTCATCGTCCCCAAGAACACCGACGATGACATGCTGGAGAAGGCGGCCAAATTCAGACAGGGGGGACGCTTCCCCGTCCTCTGCTACTACCACAGGAAGAACGGCATGGTGAGGTGCCTTCATGTGTCTCTACAGCCAAGCCCACACTTCACACATGCAACTAAACAATTCGAATCTCTTCAGGTTATCATGCGCAGCAGTCAGCCGCTGACGGGAGCCAATAGGAAGCGCTGCAAGGATGACGAGTGCCTCCTCCAGGCCGTGATTGACGGCTCGGACAAAGGCTTCGTTATTGACACGCGCTCCAGTCAACAGGCCCTGCAGGCCCGGATGACTGGTGGAGGGTGTGAGTCCAAGTCGTGTTACAGTGGCTGGACGAGACTGCACAGGCAGATGGAGAGGCGAGTGTGAAAGTTGGCTTAGTGGGAGTTGATGCGGTTCTCCGTTTTTATGATACTGATGTTTTCCCGTCAAACTGTCCACCCCATTGTCTTCTTTACAGGGGGAAAGCGCTGCAGGAGAGCCTCATTAAACTGGTGGAGGCCTGCGGGGACGAGTCCCATAACATGGACCGTTGGCTCAGTAAGCTTGATAATTCAAAGTGGCTGTCTCACGTCCAAACTGCCCTGTCAACCGCTGGACTGCTGGCGGAGTGTGTGGAGAGGTAGGAACTACACCCACGGTGTGTGTGTGTGTGTGTGTGTGGGGGGGGGGGGATTACAGTCGGTTTGCATTTATCTCTTGTCAAAGGCATGTTTTTATATTTGCACTCTTCGACATGAAGGTAGCATAAGAAATAATCGGAGCACCAGCAAAGACAAATATGTGCGCGTATACGCCTTTTCTAATACACGAAGGAGGAACAGGACTGAACTGTAGTGTATCTATTGCTTTTGTGCAGGGACGGTCATTCTGTGCTGGTTCACGGCTCTGAAGGGACAGACTCCACTTTGCTCATCAGCACTCTGGCTCAGCTCATCATGGACCCATGTTGCCGCACACTGGAGGGCTTCCTGGCTCTGCTGGAGAGGGAGTGGGTACAGGTGATTGTGTGTGTGTGTGTGTGTGTGTGTGTGTGTGTGTGTGTGTGTGTGTGTGTGTCTGTGTGTGAGTGTGTGCATGTGCTGAAAGATTGGAAAACGTGAAGAAAAAAATGCAAATCCTCAAATAGATTGAGACTCGTGAACACAGTATCAGTGATACAGAGTCACTTCACCCGAAGTATGTATTTTTTATTCACTATCTTTGAAACACAGAATGCATTACTCGTGATCTTTTTTAGGTTACTGCTTTCAGTTAAGTTCAGAATTCAAATCATAAGGAAGCCTTCTAAATAACAGTCCAAAGTGGGAGCTCATTGAATTTTGCTACTTTTTGCATCGACAGATTTGAGGCAAAGCTGTCCTCTGTTTTTCAAACACAATCTCACATCTCTTGCTAAAAGGATATTGCGCCACAGTCTACCCTTTACAGGAAATGTCTTAAAAAAAAAAACTGCACGTAGCGGACATGGATTTACCATAACCGTTTGCCCATTGTTTCCAAATGTTTCCGTTCTCTAACACTTGTACCTCCATTATAGTGGAGTATTTCTCAACATTTATGGGGAAGTCATTTTTCTCATCATCATCCTGAAATATATAATCTACATCACTCTTTTTTTATCCACACAAGAACCATGAAACAATATTTTTTAATTTCACAGCCCATCCAAATAACCAACAAACAATTAATATTGAGGCTGACATTTCATCATCAATTATCGATTATAGATAAAAGTCATATGAAGGAAAGTCGTTCTTCGTGCTTAAGAGTTAAATAGACAGGACTGAAGTAGCAAAGTTGTACAAATTGATCGATAAAGCAAGTGATGATGTTTCAACTGTGCCCCGACATGATCCCTATTTTATAAGTTATTGACACAGAAAACGACCCACAGTACAGAACAGTGTGCACTGTATGCATGTTTATATGAATAAGTGTTCCTCCCTCCAGGCAGGACACCCATTCCGGCAGCGGTGTGCCCACTCTGCGTTCTCCCACGCCCGTCTCCAGCAGGAGTCCCCGGTTTTCCTGCTGCTGCTGGACTGTGTGTGGCAGCTGTGGCGTCAGTTCCCCCTGGCACTGGGCTTCTCTGAGGCGCTGCTCCTGAGGCTGGCGACCGAGGCCTACGTGTCTAACTATGGCACCTTCCTGTGCAACAGCCATAAGGAGAGGTCGGTCTTAAGGCTCAGTGCGACTGTGCATTTGGGCAACGGATGGCTGAGACCAAACTCAACCGTTTCTTTCTTTCAAACTATATCTTCACGAGGTGTTAGTGACCTTCCACCTCACTCTTCCCTCTCAGGTGTGCTCTGGGAGTGAAGAAGAACACTCACTGTTTGTTCCGGGCCCTGTTGAGGGCCAGGGAGAGGGACTGCTACTCTAACCCTCTGTATGAGCCCACCGAGCTAGCGATCTGGCCCTCAGTCCACCCTCAGTCCCTACAGCTTTGGAGAGGTGAGCTTTGACGTTTTCAAACATGATCTCATCTTTATGCCGACAGTCATGGCCTGAGGCGATGTGTTTCTGGGTTATCCGTACATACATGCTTGTGAAGTCTTGCCTGGAGTCTCTTGCCCGGAGAAACATTTCTTCAGATTTGGCACAAACACATTTTGGGCCATAGCTTAAGAATTTATGTGCTAATTATGGCAATTTCCCACTAATGTCTAATAGGATAAATTGATGAAGTGATGTCATTTTTGGACAGACAGACAGATGCTTTTGACCTGTGGTTAGTATCAGCGGAGATGCTCGGTCAGCCTCTAACGTCCGCCCAATGGTTTCATTATCTAGAGTTGTAAGCCGACTGCGTTGCTAACTGTGATGATTCTAGGATTTGATTAATCGAGCGTTGATACTAAAGCACATATCTTATGTATTCTCAGGTTTTTTTCTGAGGTGGACCCCGCAGGCTCGTCACCTAGAAGAGGCTCAGGAGGAGATAAGGAACATGGTCACTGAGTGGGGGAAGCTGGCTCTCAGCCGATGCACTCAGTAAATGAAGATGGGAAGATGTTCAGCCTGAACATGTAGAACACGTTCTAAGGAGGGACAATACCAAAGCTCAATGCCTTTTGACTGTGGAAATGTTATCTTAGAATGTTTGACAACCTGATGTGTTTTAATGTACAGTCATTTTTGTATTCTTTTATAAAATAAATTGAAGAAAAAAAACCCTCAATTTTTGATGTAATTTGAAGATGTTTAGCCCTCACACCACATTTTAAAACTGTTGTTTAAAACATGTTATGATAATATATGTTGTGTTTTACTTAAAAATATATTTTCTATATTCATTCACAGATATTATCAATCGAAAGAGGCTATATAACCGACACATCTCCCAGTCCTGTTAAGCTCAGCTAAACACTCTTCACAATACAAATCCCTGTGCACTGCAAGTCAGCATGTTTGCACACACACGGAGCTTTGCAAGCTGGAGACTGTAGTCAGGTTCAGTCAAGAGCCACAAACCCCAGTGATTACACAATGTGGACAAGAACCACATAGCCCAGCATGACTTTCTACTGCTGCTTTTTTATCCAGCTGTTACTGGGTGAACTGAGACGGTGACCAATCGGATGGTAATCTTTTATTTCTGACACATGCCTTGAAAAGTATATTATGGGCTCTTATTTCATAATTTAGATCAGAGGAAAAGTTTGGGATTCACTAAATTGCACCTGTTGGTTTTGGACCAATAATCTGGGATTGTCTGGTATTTCTGATTTTGCCAGCACACAGGTAAAAACCTTTTTTCTGTGCCCTGTTTAATTTATTTGTCTGTACTGTTATTTTAACACGACTTGTGTATATATATATATATATATATACACCCCAATGATCATCAACAAAATGTAGAAGTTTAATGTCAGTTCATTTTGATTTTTCTAAGGACTGCTACTAGACATGCAACCGGGGGTCTGTATGCCCACTGCAGCTGCGCTGGGCTTGTTTTGCCGAGGTTGTCTCAGCAGGGCGCGAAGTTTGCCCGGTGGCAGCCTGAGCTGTTTGCCCAGGCAGATGAGCAGGTGGAACAGCCTGGAGACCGGCAGCCCCATACCTATTCAGGAAAACCCTCGTATCCTCATCACAGGTAATATGATTGATAGCTAAAGATGGAGAGAAAGATGGACTTTGTCCACCGCTACACAAACACTGAACCTGTGAAGCTACTATTGTTTTCTACCACTTTCACCATGCAGCCACTGTTTTGTACTCACGTTCACAGAGCAGTTACAAGAAGGGGTCGAGGGCACCGAGTAAGGGATATGAGAGAGTTGCTCACTTCCAAGCAGATCCTATGTTTATTTGAAATGCAAGTGGCATCAATGGCATGAGTGGTATACTAGACAAGTGTAGTGTCGTTTTATATTTATCGAGTTGCTTTCACTTTGCACCAGCAGCAGGACCCCACTTTGACTCATCACAATAGGATGCGTACAGACAGCGCTGGTGATATAAAAGAGCCAGTGAGTGACTGGAGGGGAGAATAATAGCCCACTGTTGCTTTTTGTCCCGGGATAAAGCTTTGGAACAAACAAAAAGCTGAAGCGTGGTGCACCAAAAACATTGACTCCGCTTGCGTACCAAACTCCAAACATTTTCTTGTTTTCTCTTGACAAATAGAAATACTAAACTGTGCCTCTATATGCAGGTGGTCTTGGGCAGTTAGGTGTGGGACTGGCAGAGATGCTGAGGTGAGATGCGTGGAAATTTTCTGAGACAACAAAGCTTGTGAACATGTTTGAAATTTGAACTTCGTACATCATATCTCTATCAACGTCTAGGAAACAGTATGGAACGGAGAATGTAATCCTGTCAGACATTAAGAAGCCTCCACCTCATGTTATCAGAAGTGGTATGCAATTCAAAATCAAATTCTTTTCACCAGATATGTTGTGTTTTTCATTCTTCTCCAATTTACACTGAACAGTATGTGCAGCTTATTTCCCTGCTCTTTAAATCATCAGTTTACGAATATTCTTCTCTTTCCCCATCAGGTCCATTTGTGTACGCTGATGTGTTGGACTACAAACACCTCCGGGAGCTGATTGTAAATTATCGTGTCACTTGGCTGGTCCACTACAGTGCTCTGCTTAGTGCTGTGGGCGAAGCTAATGTGGCTTTGGCACGCAAGATCAACATCACAGGTCTGCCGATTACACTCACTATTCACATGTATACCGCCTTCTTAGGGGTTATTATGTTTCAAACTCCTCTTCGGATGTCCTGCTGTCCATCTAGGCCTTCATAATGTGCTGGACTTGGCTCTAGAGAGCTGCCTGCGCATCTTTGTCCCCAGCACCATTGGAGCGTTCGGCCCCTCTTCTCCACGTGACCCGGCCCCTGACCTCTGTGTCCAAAGACCTCGAACCATCTATGGCGTGTCCAAAGTGCACGGAGAACTAATGGGGGAGGTGTGTTGGCCTTAAAATGCACATGCATACACATTCACGCGGTACTCTAATACATCAGTTTGTAAAATTTTGTGACATCTCAATATTCTTTTTCTTTAGTATCTCCATCATAAATATGGTCTGGACTTCCGCTGCCTGCGGTACCCAGGTGTGATATCAGTCAGCACCCCCCCCGGAGGAGGAACAACAGGTATTGCATCACTTCTCTATCCGCATATGCCACATATATTCAGCACAATCAGCTTGATGTTATGAACAAGGCACTCCGGACCTCTTTCTTTGCAGACTATGCCGTTCAAATCTTCCACGACGCCCTGAGCACGGGTCACCACGAGTGCTACCTGCGTCCCGACACCCGCCTCCCCATGATGCATATCTCTGACTGCCACCGCGCCACCATAGAGTTCATGCAGGCTCCAGAGTGCCAGCTGTCTCTGCGTACCTACAACATCGCCGCCATGAGCTTCACTCCAGAAGAGGTGGCGCAAGAAATCCGCAAGCATCTCCCTCACCTCAAGGTCACCTACAATCCCGACTCTGTCCGCCAGACCATCGGTACGACGTGGTGCACATACCGACACTCAAAACCTGTGGGGGATCATACAACTTTTCAATGTTTTCAGTGTGTTAAATACATCATACTGGTTTGCCATCTTCTTGAGTTTTCACTTTAAGTTTTGTCTTATTTTGAAATGACATGACTCATATTGCCATCTTCAATTATAGCTGATGTGATGGAAGTAATGTGGTTATGTTGCATGCCACTTTGCAGCAGACAGCTGGCCCGTGAGGTTTGACGACACCAATGCCAGGAGAGATTGGGGCTGGGCACCAGTCTTCCGGCTTGAGGAGCTGGTGTCAGACATGCTGCGCTCCATTCGAGACAAGAGGACATACGAGGGTTTGCCAGTCAGCTAGCGAAAACCTGCTCCACAAAGACTGATCAGCGCCCTGGCCCTGACTTCTTCTCCAGCCTGCATTTACCAGCGATACACTTCCTTTCACTTCACCTTCACATGTCGTCAACCTGTATCCCCCGTTACTCTGGAACATTACAGCAAAAAGCCAGGGACTGGTTGTAAAGTAAAGTGGGAATTCACAGTCTGATGATCTCAATATACAGTGGACAGTGAGATGTCACACACATGCACTCAAACACACATCTCAGTCTTTTTCAGGGAATAATATACCGTCAAACTTTCCCTTAATCTTTGTCATTTTTAATCGTTAGCATGGGATAAGCATCACTTTACACATGTTGCCTCAGAAGGAACAACAAAGGACTTCATAGATTTCCGAATGTCATGTGACTCACATCAATGGACACAACAGTTTGTTACAATGTCTATGAAAATGTCTATTACAATATGGACCAGTTACACATTTATAGTAACAAATCTGTTGTACACTTTGATTCAAGGATTATCTGGAATGGCTGGCTCAGTTAACTCTCAACTGTATTTATTGACTCACCACATATTCTGGCTGTTTTCAAAAGCCAGTCTTTTATTATATAGTCTATCAAGTGACTATCACACACTGTATACAACCACACTACCCTTGCTGTGGCATCTAACAAGAAACCTTTATTTTGCCTTTTTTTTTTGCCAGCTGTGTGATTTTAGTTATGAATGAGCACCTATAACAAATGAAGCCTTATTTACTGTAGATTGCTTTGGAAAGCAATGTTTAAAAAATGCAGTGTACTTTTGAATCAGACCTTGATTATTAAAAATGTTATTTACCCAAACAGCAGTGATTAAGTTGAATTGTTGACCTTCATTTAGAAAGTAACTTTACTACTGATTGGGCCACATTGATATTTAGGGTGATGCTGATGACTATAGTATTGATTGTGGTGGTAACTACAGTTTTGAGGTCCTTATCACATTTCAGGGAGAATTATTGTATTGTTTTCACCAGCATAAATAGTAGTAACTTTGCAAATTCAGATTTTTACTCTAAAACACATGATCAACAAATAAAATATGATGCACTGTTATAGATTCAACTACCAGCAGTTTCTGAAGTATTTAAAATTGGTGCCACCTCAATCAGCGACATTGAAAAGCTGCTCTCCCAGTAATGCATTAGTAATTAAAAATGTATGATGTGAGATAATATTACAACACACAGTTATCCAATATGCAGAATTATTTGCAGAATTATTTCTGCATATTGGGTAATTTAGCAAGTACAATTTAGCAGAACGTTTCACAGTTTTGTTTTATTCATAAACCAGTCAGGATCACGGTCTGGGAGGACACATCTTCCCTCCTATCATTACAGTACATGCAGTTCTTGGTTCTTTCTCTAGAGGCGCACCCGTCATCCGGCTCTCCAACCAGAAAAATTTCACCGGAGCAGCGCACGTCTTTCTCAACGGCACCTGTTAAATCCATTTTCTCTGATAATGGACGCGGGATTCTTCCGCGTAAGTTCTTGGAAAAGTTTGTTCATACTCTTTAATGTCTTGCTGCTAAGTAACAGGGAGATATATCCATTGTTGGAGCATTAATATGCAGTTTTTAGGTGGAGGGCCATAGAGCCAGGCGTTATGGTAACGTTATGGTCGGGGCTTCGTCTATCAACTGATAACGTTACTCGACAAGAGCCGTGTTTCTACTGGGCTATTTCCAGAGTTTACATGTCTTTACTAAATGCATGTTTGTACCACTATAGCCATATTTGACGATATATGGCCAACAACTCATAGCCCTTTCGCATTAATTTGGAGTCGACACAGTTGCAGGAAATAGACAAGCCTACCTAGCTAGCTTACGTTAGCTTCTTCTAATTTGTTAGCAAAGATGGCGTCCGTGTGGTGCATCGTTTGTGACTGGGGGGTAGTCACGACCACGTTAACGTTGGCTAGAATAAATGGATGTAGCGTTAAACGTGTACCGAATAACTACACCGATTTGACTATTTGATGTTCTGTCTATGTCAGCGGTGCTGCGGTGAAGGTAACCACGAGGCTAATATTAGCCTTTTAGTTTCGCCTGGAGGATTAATCATGCTAACTATTAGCTTAGCTAACGTTAGCTTATTTGTATCAATGTCATGTGTGGCTCACGTTGACGATGTGGTACTGCGACCACGTGAACTGACGTTATCAAATATTCTGACTTTTACCGTAACATCGTATGTTAGCAAATGTACCTTAATGTTTGCTAACTCAGTGTTTTGGTTTCGATGTCTGTATCGCCGGTATGTTAGTGCAGTCACGTTTAAATTACCGCTGGTCAAACACTAAGGAAGTTGTTTTGCATCTGAACTGAATCACGTGAGAGAAATGCTTCAAGCATAATGTTAGGTGTATGTGCGTGTCTGATTGTCAACCCACACTAGTCATCTAAGAGTTGGTTGATTTTTTTTTCTGTAGGGTACAAGTGCGGAGCAAGACAACCGTTTCAGCAACAAGCAGAAGAAACTACTGAAGCAGCTGAAGTTTGCAGAATGTCTGGACAAGAAGGTATAAGATCACCCACAAATGCATTGTGTTGTTCAGCTTGTGCCAGTATAAGTCCCAAACAATCTGTTGCCTTGACAAATGTATTGTATTTTATTGACCAGATTTGTGATTTGTTTCTGATTGCATGAAACCATTTCACCCTTAGGTGGACATGACCAAAGTGAACCTGGAAGTCATCAAACCGTGGATTACTCAGCGAGTGACAGAGATTCTGGGGTTCGAGGATGACGTCGTCATAGAGTTTATATTTAACCAACTTGAGGATAAGGTAATGTCTTTAATATGTTTCTGTTTTGTTTTTCAAAACTGTCATAAATTTGAGGGCATTGTTTCGTTAGTAAGAAGGGATATAAGCAAATAATTGCACTCCCTAGTCAAATTGAATGGGTAAAGTAACAATTGGTGTAAACTGATTAATAATGACATAACTATGTTTTGCTGTTATGTGACAAAGTGCCTATATTCAGCAGTCTTCTAATGATGATGTGATTTATGATTTAAAAGGCCTGAACCAATATGGATGTTATACCTTGCATCAGAAGTATAGCACCAACACCTAATTAGCTCTCTCCTGAGCCCAAAGTCACTGAGCCCAACTCTCCTTCATGATGCAGTGTGTGGTTTGAGGTGAGTTATATGCAGGGATCACCAATATCATGTCAGTGAAAGACATACCTGAACAATGCCATAATCATGTAGGATAATTGCAGTGCAAAATTAAACTGCCCAGATCCCTGCTGTTAAGAGTAACGGATCTCTTCCTCTACATTCTTTAGAGAGCAACTGTAGGAGTATTTTAACACCAAGCTGGAAAGGATCCTCTCAATGTCCACCTCGGATTGACGATTTCAGGTCTTCTGCACCTCTGTTGGGTTTGCTCAGAAGCGTTTTCTGTCCCACTTGCAACAGACTCAAGGTCACTGTAGAAAGTTGAGAACAAAAACAAGATTTTCATCCGATTTGTGAGTTGTTCTGTAACAAATCTGTTAAACCTCTGACAACACTCGGCGTCTCAGTTGCGTGTCGTCAGACGTGCAACACATTTGAGATTTTCAAACATAAACGGTACTTTTCTTTTTGGTGTTAAGTTACTCTTTAAACTGAAAGGCCATTGAAATATCTGTAGTGGTCATGTTTTTGATTCTTAACAAAATCTTTCTTGCCAGCAGGGCTTTAATGCTGAGCCCCACTGATGTTGTGTATTTTATTGTTTAATATTAAATTCTGCATGTTTTTCATCCCATAGGCTAATTTAAGAATTTTGTTTATTTATGCATAATTCCATTGCAACGGCTTACTTTTTAAAATAGGAAAACAGATAAATGGGAGGGAAATGACCAAAGTAATGTACACACATTATCCCTTATTAGATTATTACTAGGATTCCATCCCATAGTATACTTCAATGCAAGTATGGTATGTATGCGTAATGACTTCGTTAATGACTTTCATTCTCCTAAGATGCTTAAAAAACCGCATGTATTTATTTAATATTATCAAATGTGACCCCAGTACTGCACATAAAATATATTTTCTGATCTTTTGCTTGCCATAGCTTTTGAGGCGGGTGGGTTGGGCTGTTAAAGCTAAGTTTTAAGGGCACTGTTGCATAATGGTAAGAAAAGGAAATTGAATTGAGATCACGGTATCTCGCAATAATTCTATCAGCTGTTGAAAAAGAAAAACTTCTTTTTTTTTTTTGTGTAACTGTGTACTCATTATTGCTTGTTCGTCTCTTGCAATTTAGATAAATGATATAACATTAAGCTCAAGGTGGTTGAGTCTCAAGCAGTAGGGAGGCGGAAGCAAGCCAAGGGAGCTCCGTGCCCACTGATCCCACGGGACTCACTGAAGACACCGGAACTGTACTTGCAGTGTTGGGTTTTAATGCACTCTGTATTGTGGCTCTTTGTTTAACTCCTGAAGTGTAGACTTGTGGGGAGACCGGAGAACAAGGGGTGGGTAGGGACACTGATATGTAAAGCAGTGGGGATAGTACTGAGCAAATCAAATAATGACTATTTGTTGTGTTCTTGATTGTATACCTGGGGAATAAAAATCAGAAATGGGTATAACAGAAGTATTGCATGCAGTTATTTATATCACTAGATGCGTCTCCCCTCAACTAGCTCACATTCTCAGCTTGAATATGTGAGTACAATTTAAATCAAATTAATCACACACTTGTTTTGATAGGTTATTCTTTCAATTATTGGACCCAGGTATGTTTAGTATACTAATCAGTGTCTTACATGTTTTGAGTAAGGTTAAAGACATAGTCACATCAGTTTAGTGAGGACTAGAGGGTAGGCAGTCCCATTTTTGGGATCCTAACCCCCCCCACCCCACCCCTTAATTATGTGCCTTCCATTACTTTAATGGCCGTATGGTCTTTTCTCTGCCTCCTTCGTGTGTGTGTTACAGCACCCGGATAGCAAGATGATGCAGATCAACCTGACGGGCTTCCTGAATGGGAAGAATGCCCGGGAGTTCATGAGGGACCTGTGGCCCCTGCTGCTCAGTGCCCAGGAGAACATTGCTGGCATCCCGTCTGCTTTCCTGGAACAGAAGAAGGAGGAAATTAAACAGAGACAGGTGAGCTTCTCCCTGGGGTCAGTTTGGCAGAATGTGTCTGTTAGCTGTAGGAAGGTCATGGCTCTGTGGTCGCTGACAGCTCGTGGTTCAAGTAGCCCAGGCAGGAAAAGACTCGAGTAAATAAGTCTGTATTTCTGTAATAATCAGAGTGGATAATGTGTCCTATATGAACCATACACCCAGACAATAACATTGACCTCAGTATTTGACACCCTAGATGACAGTATGTGAACATTGCCGGACAGAACATGCAGTATATTGTTACTGATAGTGATGTGATTGTTCCTTGTTACATTTCCGGTAGATTGAACAGGAGAAGCTAGCTTCTCTGAAGAAGATCGACGACGATAAGAAGGAAAAGGAAATCAGAGAGAGGGCACAGTCAAAAAGCCCAAGGAGGTAAGAAAAAAAAAAAAAAAAAAAAAAAAGTCTTCCATATCGACATCAGTGGACCGAAGTTGGATTTGTGTGTTTATATCACAGAACATGAAAACATAATTCTGTTTGCTTTTCCTCTGTCCAGGCGGAAGACGAGGTCACCATCACCCCGGCGAAGGTCTCCAGTGAAGCGTGAAAGGAAGCGTAGCGCCTCGCGCTCTCCAAGACGCAAAGCCAGTCCAGTTGGCGGCAGTTCACCCCCTCCACCTCTGATGCAGCTGCCCACCAAACCGTTGGAGCAGCTTGTGGAGTCAGAAACATTAGATAGAGCCCTGCCAGAGCCAGTCGTCCAGGAAACTCCTTCCACCTGGTTTGTAGAAGAATTGCCTTGC